TCTGAACTCCAAGGCCTCCAGGCTTGGGGCTTGTATGTAGGATGCCTTACCCTCACGTCCTAGTTTCACAGCTGGGGTGTGGGGTGGGGAATGGGTGCCTCAAAGCAGGAAGGGCCTGCACTCCAACTCTTCTCAGCTGTTGCAGCAACCTACAGGGTCCTGAGAGAAACTCTGACTTACAAGCATTTCTCTAGCTCCTTCCAAGGGTAGACCTCAAAAGAAATGGAAGGAAATCCAAATGGCAAATATCAGTGTTAAACCTTACAAGCCTTTTGCAAGATAAGTAAATACTATTGTTCCCATTTTAAAGGTGGGTAACCTGAGGCAACCAAGGGAAAATTGATTTCTTTTTCTAATCCAGGTAGGGCTGTTTCTATTTTCCAAAATAACTCTAAAGACTGTGAAATATGATGACTTGACAGAGTGGAGACTAAAGTCCTGTCTTTATCTGCAGAACAGGTATGACAAAGATATCAGCAGTACAAGCCTCCCATATTTCCCACTAACACATCTAACAAGGAGTGGCCAGCTTTAGGCAGGAAGTCTTACAATTCTTGATCTGCGCCTCTTTTCTTCTGAGACTCCAAACAAACTGAAACTTTGCCTGATAGCCAACAATCCCATGTGTCTACACACTGGGAGGCACAGCACCTTGTAGCTCTCCTGTAGCGCACAATAATTACACACTCAATATTTTTCTTCCCTATGCTAACATCATTATTATTTTACAAATTTTAATTATTGTTTGGCTTTTACATGCTACTCTGATAAGTGCCCTAGAAATATACCACAGAAGGAACAACCTGATAATATTGTATTGATGGGGGAATAGGGTAAGTCCCGTCACAGGCCAGCTGGGCACTGTGAGTATATCAATTCTATCATTGGCCAACTGGGCGCTGCAAGGGTATCAGCCACTGGGCTGTTTGGTTCAGTTTCGGATCGAGGAGGCAAAGTTGGGAGTGAAGTACAGGCAAATTTATTATAGTTTACACACACAACAGTTAACAGAAAGATAAATGCGATAAACAGATAATGCAGTATTAAAGAGCTAATAGTAAATAATAACAACAGATAATAACAACAAATAGATGGATCAATTCTGTCGCAGGCCAACTGGGCACTGCGAGGGTATCAGCCACCTGGTTGTTCAAAACAACAGATAGACAGACATGGGTTGGCACCTTATCGATAGTCCCTCAATGCCAGATACGTGTCAAATGATTCCAGCAAAGTCAGGCGTCCCCGATCGATGCTGTTGGAGGGATTACCAGGGAAGATCCCTTGATCAGGATCCGATCCTCACTCACACCAGGAGTCCAGAGTCCTGGTTTAGAACAGAAATGACCGTTCTGTTCCCTCCTTTCTGCTGGTCACTTGATGCACGCACTTTTTATACCCAGTCTTATGCTAATCTGTTGGCTTTAGAGCACTCACAATCTTGCCCTATAGCTGTTACCCTATGGGATTGAAAGGTGTTAAAAATTATCATAAAAGGTTACTACCCAGACCCGGGTTTATCCAATAAGCAAATTACAATGCAGCACCGTTAGGTTTGAAATTGACATTGTTCCGCCTAAGCTCAACCCCTTTTAGGTTTCTCTGAATATGCTTCCTTGTGTTTTCCTGGAATGTGTTGGGTGCGCCAGGCGGTTGGATCCAGTTTTTATCGTCAAGGCTGAACCCTGAGCAAAAACAGTTAGGTCAGCTAATCTTGCAGCTACAGCTTTGCCTATGGGGCCCAGTCAGTTACACAAACAGTTAATTTATCATTTTGGTTAAACTTATGACAGACAAGTTACATTTGCAGGTTACAAACTTTCAAGCTTTATAGTAGCTAATATGACCTGTTTAGGCAAAATACCAAATGCCTCCAAGAAGCACATATTTATTGCTTATTAATCCCTCTGGTTCTGGCCATCACAAGTCCCCAAAGAAATTGTGGGATTTTCTATTCTTGGGAATACAGGCCAGAACCACAAAATGGCTAATACGTCATATATATGTCATATGCCATGCATCCACCAACAGCAGGTAAGCAGCTCTCTTTTGTGCCAACAGTACAGTCCCATTATTTCTCTGTGCTCCAGCTGCCTGATTTATCCTCTTGCCTGTAACTTTTGAACATATGATCTTCAGAGCAGGGACTGACTTGTTTATACATATGTAGGGTATGAATGCCATTACTGCAGTACAGGAACATCTCATGCTCTGGAAGGAAGTTATCCTCCCAGAACTGCTATGAGTTAAGGGTGTGCTTTTATCTCTGATTTACAGACAAAGAATCGAGGCCCAGGGAAGCCAAGTAATTTGACCAACACTGAACGGACCAGGGAATTGAATGCAGGTCTCTGGCTAGCCTAGCACCATAACCACTGGACCATTCTCTTTAAGTCTATACACTGGCTAATACAGTGATTTTCAATTAGAGAGTACCCTGACATCCTTTCAAGGGTGCTGGAGCATGCCGCACAATGCAAGCAGTGCTGGGGGTGTGAATATGATTCATGAAACAAACCAAGAGATTTCAAACAGGAATCTGAACCACAATGTTGGAACCATTCTGACCTGGGGCAGATCCAGGGAGGATGCACTGGTGCTGGTGCACATGCACCGCCCCCCGCTTTGAATCCTGTTGTACCCATAGTTAAAACCAACTGCCTGGCAGCAGCAGCAGCAATATTTCTAGTCAGGTGTGTGGGCCACCTCCCGATCCCGTCCATGTCGCCATGTGCGAGCCGGGAGCGATACGCGGACCCATCTTTGTGCACGTGGGCTGTGGCCAGCAGCCCGGGCACGCGGGGTCAGAGGAGACCGTGCGGCGGCAAGGCACGCACGGGCTAGAATTAGTCACAGAGGCATAGTGGTTGATTCAAAGATTATTTACTTACACCCAAGATGGTCGTGGTGTAGGCTGGACAGTTTCCAGGTTCAGCTCCGCTTAAATCCTCGTTGGAGGACTACAACAAACTCGGTTCTTGGGCCCCGGAGTTGTTAAGGCTCCGCGGGTTTGGCAATTTCTTTCCCACGGAGTTGTCGAAGCTCCGTGGGTTTGGTTTGGCTCTCTGGCCCTGGAGTTGTTAAGGCTCCGTGGGTTCGGATCTTGAGTATATAGGATAGGGATACATCTAGGATTGCGCTCGGCGACGGGGAGAGGCCAGAGGCTGTTTAGACCTCTGTTGCCTTCTTAAGAAATGCGTTGGGTTCGTAAGGATCCGCAGCGCTTAGAGATCTTCACGTTCTCCCTCTCGGACTCCAATTGCTTTCTCTCCAACTTGGGCGGAAACCACCCAAGCTCTTTATACGGCTACAGGAACTCCTTTGCACCGTGTATTTCTGAGATGCAAAAGAAATGCACCATGCAAAGAAAGCTATAAATTGGCGGGAAAATTCTCTGTTGCACCAGAGTTCTCCTCTGCAGCAGAAAACTCCACCGTGCAAAGAAGCTGCAATTTGGCGGGAAAATAATTTAGCAGTGCCGAAGCACACACAAAACAAAACTCACAACTTTGGGTTGTGACAAGGTAGTGCTGAGGGAGTCAATTGACTTCATGGCTCATCATCATCTATCTGCTCCTTTCTCAGCTCTTCATTCCATAGGAGTTAATCACCCTCTTCTTTTTAATAGGCTTGATGTTCCACTCCTCAAGTGGGTCTTTGTTCTGCCATTCTGCTGCCTCTTTGCTGCTCCTGGTAAGGAAGCTCCAATTTCACAGCCCTGCAGATGGTTTGGAACTTAGTCCAATGAAGTTAGTTATTTTTGCTTCCATCTTAAAATCATCCAGCCCTCAGCCCCAGCCCGTCAGTAAAGCTTCTAGTTTATTTTTAAATGGAGAAACACATGTGCTGTGTTATATGGGAAGATGCACCTTACCCTTTGATCCACTCCGTCCCCATCAGAATCCTAGATCTGCTGGTGCTTCAAGTGTCCCTTTGTTGCAAAGGCGACTAACAGTATACAGGGCTGCATTAGCAGAAGGGTTGCCAGCAATTGAGGGAAGTGATTATTCCCCTCTATTCAGCATTGGTGAGGTCACATCTGGAGTGCTGTGTCCAGTTTTGGGCCCCCCACTACAGAAAGGATGTGGGCAAATTGGAGGGAGTCCAGTGGAGGGCAACGAAAATGGTTTGGGGGTGGGTGACATGACTTGTGAGAAGAGGCTGATGGAACTGGGTTTATTTAATCTGGAGAAGAGAAGACTAAAAGTGGATTAATAGCAGCATTCAACCACCTGGAGGTAAGGTAACCACCTTTTCCAAACTGGAAGGCAGGACATGGAACAGAAAACCCGGATCCCCGCATGACACAGCAAAACTGGGACAAATGCTGTCCCGGAGTCATGTAGCCCAGGACTGCGATGTTCTCATTTCAGGACTGTCCCACCCCATTAGGGATGGGTGGGTGGTCACCCTACCTGAAGGGGGCTCCAAAGACTGCTCTCAGTGGTGGCGGATGTCAGGACAAGGAGCAAGCAAGGGGGGGTTACTTTAGATAAAAGGAAACACTTTCTCACTGGCGGGTGGTAGAGGAGGGGAGCAGGTTACCTAGAGCAGTGGTGGACTCTCCAGCCCTGGAGGTGTTTTCAAGCTGGGGTCAGACGAAGCCTTGGCTGGGATGAGGCAGCTGGGGCTGGTCCTGCTCAGAGCAGGGTTGGACCGTGGCCTCCCGAGGTCCCTGCCGACCCCCATCGCCCCTTTTGTGGCTTCTCTGGGGGCTGCGCCACAGCTGAGCGGCTCTAGCACTCCTCCACAGGCGGAGACCGGAGGGAAACTTGGAGCTGGGGGGCCTCGAGGCTGCCCAGGTCGCGAGGCGCCGCCTGGCGCAAGGGGCAGGGCTCTGTGGTGCTGCCTGAGGATGCACAGGAAGGCGAGGCGTCCTTAAGGAAGAAACACTGCCTGCCCTGCCATCTGGCGGCACTTCTTCCCCAGCTGCGGTGTCCCCGCCTACCCGCGCCGCTGCCTCAGCAATGCCGCCGCCGCCGCGGGACTCGTGACGCGCCGCAGCCGGAGGTCCCGGACGCCTCCGACGGGGAGAGGCGGAGCCGCCGATCAGCAGGGGAAGGAGGTTGCTGGAGCTCCCGCGCGGTGAGTGCGGCCCGGGCCGGCCCTGCCATGGCGTGCGCCTGGAGCTTCCCCCTCGGGATAGGGGGGGAGCCGGCCCCGGCCAGGGCGCGGGACCTTCCTCCACCTGTGTGTGTGTCTGCGCAAGTAAGGATATATGTATATGTGTGTGCATCTCTGCATGCACATGTATCTGCATGGGTGTGCCCGTTTGTATATGCATGGGTGCACCCGGGTGCGTGTGTGTGTAGATGTGTCTGTGTATGCATGTATACGCTTGCGTGTGTATATCAGGGGTGGGCAAAATGTGCCCGAATCCGGCCCTCAGGGCCCCTAAAAAATTTAGAAAATTAATATTTATCTGCCCTGGGCTGCCTGTCATGCAGCCCCCGATGGCTTGCAAAACCCAGTAAACGGCCCTCCACCCAAAATAATTGCCCTCCCTTGGTGTATATGCATGTGTGTGTATACGCATATTTGTTTGCGTGGGCATATATGTATATGTGCATATGTATATGTGTGTTGTATGTTTAATTGCTGTTCTTTTGTTGCATTAAACATATAGCACATTATATATACCCTCCTGTGTGCCTCATGTATGCATATATAATGTGCTATACATTTAAATCACTGCTCTTTCATTTGTGCCCTGTTTGGTCATGCGGTGGGTGACACCACTGCATGGCCAAACCAAGCGTTTTGGAACCGTTTGGATGAAAGGCTCCATGTACAGCAGCGATCCCCAACCTTTTTCAGACTTAAGGCACACCTGGCTAGATTCGGGGCACCCCTTGTTAACCGCCAGGCACCCCTTGGAAAATGCCAGCTCTTAGTTTTCACTTATTTTTTGACCACAGACAAATACTAGAGCCTTTCTTCTGTTGCAAAATGTTCAGGAAGATAGCAGCAGGTCAGCATGTTTTTAACGCCTTGGATTCCTATTTGAAATATCTGGGCTTATCTTGGTTTGAAGAGGGATGATCCTGCCTCAGGCAGGGGGTTGGACTAGCTGACCTCTGGAGGTCCCTTCCAGCCCTGCTTCTCTATGAATCATGTTTGCACACCTAATAGTGCTAATGTTGTGTGGCATGTCCGAGCACCCTTGAAAAGACACTGGCTGAGAATCACTGTTGTAGCCAGACCTGAGTCTCATGCCAGTGCGTGTTTCTGTGCATGTGCGTGGAGTTTCCCCTGGCAGTTGTGGCTGCTAACAGGGGATTATTCTGTTCACGTGGAAGGTTCCCTTTTCCACCCCATATGGGTCTGGGATTGTTTCCTGTTTGGAGGCTGCTCTCCAGCTGATCTGGTGTGAAAGCTGTCACTCTGCCATGGGGTTGTTCGGCTATTTCATGGGTGAAGATTGTACCAGATGATTAGTAAATGAGCCAACACCCTCTGCATAGCTTTCTAAAATACGTAAAGTGCAGATGGCAGCAATGCAGTCTTTACTTGTGCTCTTCGCCTGCCCCACCTGCTTTCCAGAAATATTTCTCAAGTCTTGTGAGGCAGGACCGTCTCTACAGATAAAAGATTATTTCGTTTCCCTGAACTCTTAAATTTGGGGTACATTTCTAATCTTTCCTTTCCTAGCATAAATGTATAGCTCTTTGGGTGTAGGCATTTATTCCAAAATAAAACCCTTTATGGGATATTTTTCCACTGGAAAGAACAAACATATAACAGCATGTTAGTTGTCATGTCCTGTAAAACACTACTAGAATATGCTTGGAGACTACCAAGATCTGGTACAAAATAGATGATCCAGATCTGGGTGTACTTCCTGCTTGTCCTAGAGCTCCCATGTGTGAACGGGTGCAAGTGCTTGTTCAGAAATACTTACTCCAGTCCTGTATTGTTCCTCATTCTGTCCATCCATGCACTGTTTTTTGCTGTGGAAGTTCTTGCATGTAGGTTTTAGTTAGCACAAAAGTTGGGGAGTGGCTGCTCTTTGTTTGAACACTTTATAATGAGTGATGTGAGTAAGAGCAGGTGGAACCAGGATGCAGTCTGTGGAGCGGTGGAGGAGAGGCAGACCAGCTGGAGAGGTGTGTGTGGCTCCAGCGAGAAGGGTGCAGTGTTTGCAACCCCTGCCCAGGGAGACTAGTCGGCCCTGTGTAGGAGGAGTGCACAGCTGAGCTGGGGGTCCCACTGGCTTGGTCAGCTGAGACTGTGAACTGAAGGAGCTGGGCCCAGACTGAGGGGAGGCAGCTGCAGACTGCTGCTGTTTGAGTGCTCTGGGACTAAAGGCTGGACTGGAGACACCTGCAAGTATGGTGAAAGTAAGGTGCTGAGTGTATATTTCCACAGTTGATGTTCCTTTACTTTTTATCTGTTCCCTCTTTTTGGCCCGTTGGTTTGTGACCCAAACCTCTCTGATTTTTCTCTATAAAAAGTAGGATCCCCCTCCCCCTGTTTTTGGTGTCAGTTTCTGGGACTGCAGAGTTGCTACTTCATGGGCAGACAGACAATAGGCCTTAAGTATGGCATCCGGGGCCTGCCTTTTCATTTCTAAAGTTTCAAACATCCAGTCACACAACGTGAATAACAAATGCCCTGCAGGTTGTAATACATTCACAGTTACGAGTAACAAAGATGAAGCAAAATCAGTAACTGCCTGTGGACTGTTCCTGAAATCAGGATTAAGTTTGTAAAATCCTAAGGTTAGATGGTCACCTAATTCTACCCCTGCACAGATGCATCCCAGACTGATGCCTGCCATGACCTACACCGCTTGCTGTGAACAGCACGCTAGGCTTGAGTTCCACTGACTTCTTGGCATTTATTGAGACAGCTGGCGAACAAGCAGTTTGTGCAAATTACGGGGCTGATCTTTACCATATGAGAATTTGTCCCATTACGAACTGAACCAGGCACTTCCTATGCAGCTCATGGGCTTGCAGTCACTTTTGTCTTGGGGTTGGTTTGGAACAAATGAGCTGGATGAGAGGCTCTGTACCCTGTTCCCCACTCCTCTGGACATGTTCTGCATCTACTCAAATTTTTGCTTCCATGGTGACAGTCTTAAGCTCTCTTTGGATTTCTGAGGATCTTTCCCTTCACATAAAATTGGGGGACTGCAAAATCGAGGGTCCATTGAAGTCAATGAAAATGAAAATTCTTGTGTTGATTTCCCCCCTCCCGGAGTAGGCTAGTAGGGAGGAATTGTGATCCTAGACAGCAGATTTACTGCGCCGTCCATGATCCTGTTGAGATCTAAATAGAAGCATGCAGATCAAGGCTAGGAGATGATTCCAAGCAGGGCCTTGCCCCCAGTGCAATAAGTACATATTTTTTCATTAACATCCTATACATCCCCTCGCAGACTAGAGCAGCATGCATGATTTATGTTCAGGTGACCATGAGAACATAAGTATGCTCTCTAAGACAGGGCAGGCCGCAGGAGGGTTCTAGGAGATGTTTCTGACTGGGGCAGACTGCCAGGTAGATAATTCAGTACTGGGTTTATTTGATGCAATAGTTGCATGCCATTTAAGAAGCCCTCCTGATGCCTCTCCTGAGCTACTGAATGAGACCTCCCCCCAAATCTCATCACCTACTACTCATCATCATACCTAGAAATGCCTAGTGCCTGTACATGAGCTTGGAGGGTGCTCTCATGTGCTGTAATTAATTGAATCTGCTGGATCATGGTAATTACTGCACTCTACCAGCCTTCCGCATCTCATGTATCGGCATCCTCACACTTCAAAATGGTGGTGGGGCGCTTGAACCAACGGTTGTCAAACGAGCTTTAGTTCAAGCACCCCCACTGCCATTTTGAAGTGTGGGGATGCTGATACAAGAGACACTTCAGTGCTTTAATTAGAGTGGTTCTTGGAGCTAGTATAACTAAAGCACCTCTGCCCCCCCCACACCAGAACATGTATGAAAGTGCTCATAGATTGCAGCTCTTGCCTTGATAAGTTAACATTACAGTTAACATTGCAGAAAAGCAAACAGTCAGTCTGAGCAACAGTAATCTCCCTGGTTTTTGTCCATCTGCACTCGTGACCATTTCAGGCTTTGACGCCCAGTTTCGAGACTAAGATTTACACTTGGTTAAAGAGAAAAGGAGAAGCTGAGAGTTGCATGCACCCCTGCCACAACTTCCTCAGTTTGCTTTGCAGGGACCTACACTCCTCTTTTTAGATGACTGAGTGAAGCGATACCCCAGAATGCATGTCTTCTGTTTCTGCCTGCACACGTTGCAGGCAGCAGCTTTGAGCTAGCTGCTTTGTTGCTTATGCTAGTAGAGTCATACACACAATGGGGATACTGGTCCCAATAAAGGCAGCCTCCCTGCTCTAGCTCCCGCAGCTCCACCAAGGTCTCTATTCAGACTTTATTCAGATATTGCTGTAGGGTGTGACCTCTTGTTTGACTACCTCTCTCCCCCTTTAGCAAGCAAACAACAGTGCTTGCTATCCACCTTCTTCTAGGATGAATGTTTCCCTAGTGGTGTTCAAGATGTTGCTCTTAGTCAGCCAAATAGGCCCTAACTATTTCAACCAGGGTGCCACAGCCTTGAGGGGGGCCTTGAGATCCTTTCAAGGGCGTGACAGGGTGATGCACAATGTCAGCGCGGTTAGGTGTGCAAACATGATTCATGGGATGATCCCAGGGATTTCAAATAAACATCCATAGCTGTGGTCTTTCTGAATCCTTTGCAATAGAAAAAACTACTTTATTATTTTTCTGCACTCAAAAAAAGTATGAAAACTAAGAGAGGGCATTTTCCAAGGGGTGCCTTGAGTCTCTCTTGGGATGCCTCAAGTCTAAAAAGATTGAGAACCACTGCCCTAATACAGCCCTAAACTAGTACAGATCCCAGTGCTGGGATGAAGGGAAGATCTCCCCTGTGCTGGAGTTGCCAGGGGCTGGTTTGGCATATGATGTGAGGTCAAGCAGCCCTTGGGACAGTCTTAGCTCTTGCTCTGGATCCCAAGAGCCTCGTGGCAGCTGATAAGCGTACTGAATGTAGGAGTTCCTCCCACCAGTCTCCTGCATCAGGAGTTCCTGTGGAGCTGGGGAGGTGCAGAGCCAGAGTAGCCATCTGAGCCTGCCGTAGAGATGTTTGTACACTGTGGGTATTCCCCACCATCACTGCCAAACCCTGTTCTGACTCCTGGCGAATGGTGCTCACAATTTGTCTTTGTCTATAACCTAAGCAGACAGCAATGGGAGGCCCACAGGGGGCAGGTGCCATTTATACAGAGCTGTATTCGATATTGCCTACTCCAAGCATTCAGAAAGCAGGCCTGTGAGAGTAGCCTACATATTAGGATTTTTTTAAGTAATAACTTTTGGGTTCTTTTTGTCTTCTGGTGCTGCAGCATTTGAAACAAAGATTTTTCTCTGTGACCCTCAGGGCTAGAAACTGATTTTAAAAAATGGAAGTCTTACTTACTCACATGACTCCTGGAGCTGGGTCCTGTAGGGATTATCAGATATCCTACGACAGCCCAAATAGAATGGCAAGAGTTAGCATTTTTCTAACTCCAACCACATGTTAAACATCTGCATTCCCACCCAGGCCCTTTAGCAATGCTTTCCTTGCTGTGAGTACTATGCCATCTCTATGCTGAGAGCAAGTTGGATGTTGTGTTACTTAAATTGCTGACAGGCTGCCTGCTCTCAGGCTCCATACCTGGCTGGCCAAGCCCCATCTGTGTTAGGTGAGTTTACAAGAGCAGGGGCACCTACTGTGTTACCACATTGAGATTTTTTATCATGTCTTTGTTCCCCTCATTTATGGTGCAGCATTAACTGAAGAACAAATGGTATATTAGTCTGTCGATTTAGTGAAAGCACTAGGGTGCAGATGGAGTGACATGCTGGAGATGACACTTGTAGAAGAACTTGCTGTAAACACTCCCACACAGCGGGATGAGAAGGAAGAAGAAGGATGCATATGGAGGGAGCCCTAACATAATATAATGGGGGGGTGGTACAAATAATTGAGAAGCACCCCCCCCCTTAGACACTACAACCATCTGCCTTCGTTTATTTTAACTGAGAGGAAGTGACCGACCAACCGGATCCTGGCACAGGATCTGGCACGCATGTGACCTGTGGTGGCCCGACATAGTTAAATTCTTATATGCCAAAAGGGCCATAATTTGCATGGGGCAGAGCTGGAGGATCTTGTCCTGCTACGTAGGGTAGGACATGCTGTACCTCATTTTTCTTCTCGCCACTGGCCTATATGAGGGGACACAGGAGGTATTGCTACCCGCTGGTGACCTGATGCAGGGGGGGACTCCTCCAGTCAACCCTGCTGATCCCTGCGACAGCAAGGGACTCCTTCCAATGACAGGTTTGTATCTCTCTCTCTTCTAGTGTTCAACCCTTGCTCCAGGGCAATGAAGTTGCTGGCCTGTGTCTGTGGCCTGGCCCTAGTGGCCTGTGCACTAGCACTAGAGAATGGGCTCATGCGGACGCCCCCGATGGGCTGGCTGGCTTGGGAGAGATTTCGCTGCAACACTGACTGCAAAATAGACCCCCAGAACTGCATCAGGTGAGTGGGGAAGCTGCTTTATGAGAACAAAAAGGCAAACTACCTATATAGTTCAGATCCATGTGGCTCCTTTTTCCAGTGAGGGAGCCACAGAGAAATGCCATGCTCCCCTCTAGATGTCCAGAGCTAAAGCATCAGCTTAGTGTTCAGTTTTGATTGAATAGCTGCTGCCTTCAGTGCCAGGGAAGGTAGGGTGATGCCCAATCTGAATCGTCATCCTCTAACCCATCACATGGGCACCCTGAGCAGAGCCAGTGTCTCCTCCTTTCCCTCCCTCCGTCACTCTGCCCCAGTCCTTGGGTAGCAACCCTTTTCCTCCCTCCATCTACAGCTCCTCGATAGCTGGAGGGGAAAAGGAGTAGAGGTGTTAAGAGCAGAGATCTCTGAAGGAGTGGGCATGTTGTGCCAGAGTTTGGGTAGTAATTGTGTGGAGGAGCAAGGGGTAGGCTGCGATGCAAAATCCCACCTAGAGGGGTCTGAGGCAAGATAACCACCCAAACTCATTTCACTCGTGAATCAAAGTTCACCACAAGGCAAAGAACACAGACCCTGAATTAGAAGACTGCTGTCCTGGGTTAAGATGCTAGGGAGTCCAGGCCAGCCTCCCAACTCCCGCAGCACCAAAATCTCATGCTCCAGAAAAAGACTTAAGATTGCCCTAGCATGCAGTAATAGACAGATATGTTTTGTGGAGAGAATTGTCTTCTGGGCTCCCACTGATAGGATGAATCTGTAGTTTTTCAACTGAAGCCTCAGGGTCATTTAAATTTTCACTTTGGCTGGGGTGTGCCTTTGTTCTTTCTGGCAACAGAAATGTCAGATCCTGTTTTGAGAACTCCTGACCCATCCTAGAAGATTTGACCCCCTCCTGTAGCACCAAAATGCTTTTTGAAGAAGTCGAGCCCTGTTTCATCTCACCCCAGCAGAAACTCACAGGATTCTGGATTGGCATGCTGGCCATTTCTAAGCTGAGGCATGAAAAGCAAGGGGGCTTAGAGCAAAGGCAAGAAAAATGTTCTGTAGCAGCAGAAGCACATCTAAAAATATGATCTGCCCATCCCACTGTGAAGTGCACAAGACAAATGTTAATATAATGTCTTCTCTCACTGCTGACTGTCAAGGAAAATAGTGGATAAGTGGACAATAAGCTGAATATGAACCAACAGTGTGCCCTAGTTGCCAAGAGGACTAATAGCATACTGGGTTGCATTAGTAGCAGTGTTGCCAATAGGTGCAGGGAAGTGATAATTTCTCTCTACTCAGCACTGGTGAGGCCACATTTGGAGTACTATGTTCAGTTTTGGGGCCCCCACTACAGAAAGGATGTGGACAAATTTTAGAGTCCAGTGGAGGACAGCAAAAATGGTGAGGAGGCTGGGGGACATGCCTTATGAGGAAAGACTGAGGGAACTGGGCTTTTTTTAGTCTAGAGAAGGAAAGACTAAGAGGGGACTTAATAGCAGCCTTCAAATACCTGAAGAGAGGCTCAAAAGAGGATGCAGCCAGACTGTTTTCAGTGGTGGCAGATGACAGAACGAGGAAAAATGGTTTCAAGTTGCAGTAAAGGAAGCTTGCGTTAGATATTAGGAAGAATTTTCTCACTAGGAGGGTAGTAAAACACTGGAACAGGTTACCCAGACAGGTGGTGCAATCTCCATCCTTGGAGGTTTTCAAGACCCAGCTGGACAAAGCCTTGACTGGAATGATCTAGTTGGGAATGGTCCTGCTTTGAGCAGGGGGTTGGACTAGATGACCTCCTGAGGTCCCTTCCAACCCTAATTTTCTATGATTCTATACAAGTACTCCCAGTGTGAAGGCAGATGGCAAAATGACATCAGTTTAATTTGCCCAACGCATGTAATTGTCTGCTTGGTTAGTCTCTGTAACTGTGTTCCCAGGGGGCATTCAGGGGAGGTGCAGTGGTGTGAGCACACCCCTCTTCTGCTGCTGTGCCCAGCTGATCTGGGTACAGGGGGACCTCCAGAACTGTTCCTGCCCTCCTCCAACCAGAGGCTACAGCTGTGCAGGGTATCAGGCTCAGCAGGGGACAGCAGCAGTGGTGAACAGGTTCTTCCCTCCAGTGCCTGCTCCCTGCCCTCCCTCCCCTGCTTCAGCCCCCACTCAGGGTCTCCCACTGGCTGGGAGCAGGTGCTGGAAGGAGGAACCTATGCGCTGTTGTTGCTGCCCCCAGCAGGCACTAGGGAGGGGACCTAGAGTTACTCCTGCCCTGTGCTGCAGGGAAGAGCTGTGTGGGTTGTCTGGCTTAGCTGGGGACAGTGGTGTAGCATGCAGGTTCCTCTCTCTACCACCAGCTCCCTGCCAGTAGGGGACACTGGGAGGAAAGGGGGACAGGGAGAAGGGACTGGTGTGCTACTACCTCTGTCCACAGCTGGGCCAGGCACTCTGAGCAGCCACCTCCACAGCCCCTGGTTGAAGTGGGACAGGAGTGGCTCTGTGACCTTGATCCTGGCCTCAGGCCATCTGGGGGTAGCAGCAGCAGTGTCAGCAGGGGGTGGGGTATTTCCCTTCCCTGTCCTCCCTTACCCTCCACCCCCCAGCTTCACTGCTAATTCACTGATCTGTGCCCTGCTCCGTGATGTCCCCTGCCAACTTGGGGACTCCAGCTATGCCTTGCCCCCATCCTCCTGGTCTGAGGAGAGAGTTGAACCCCCTTTAAGGAAATCCTGGATCCACCCAGGTATGTTCTCATCACTGCTACCCTTACATAACCACCCTGTCACTCCCTCTCGTAATTGCCTTGCACCTACTTATTGTCATAGTCTGGGGGGTATCATAGGGCAACAGGACCTCAAGAGATCCTCCTGTCTACTGGCTCTACAAAGACCCAGGATCAAATATACTTAGACCATAAGCTCTGATGGATGGCCAGTATTGTTTCTATACTTTTATAATACCCAACATGAGAAGGTGGATGCTGATGTAACAAATAATAGGTAGTATTAATAGCTGATGAGGGAGGAGATAGGCCCTCAATACAGAGCCCCTCCTAAGACCTTGGTGAGAATCTCTGATTCAGTTCTGGGACCTCAGGAGCCCAAAGAGGGTAAGAAATGGGAGGGAATTTAAAAAACAAACCTGCTGCAGGGGTAGGAAATTGTGACCTAGAAAAGTGAATGAACTATGTATATCTGCACTGGCCTTGCCATGACTAAGGGAGGCAGGTGGTAATTGCCACCTCATTTGAAGGGTGTGAATAGCAAGTAGAATTAGGAGATCAAAGATGCTAGGGAAGTTGGGGTACTAGCCTGCTCCCACCCAGAGCACTCACATGCTGATAGGCAAGTAACTTAGACTCTCTGTACCTTGGTTTCCTATCTGTACAGCGGGGATAATAGGACTGCCCTGCTTCACAGTTTTTCATGCACTGATTCTCCCAACTGTCCTGTAAAGTACTCCAGTAATGCAGCCATGTTAGTACCCTAGATAGAATCACTGAGGTTTTGAGGGGCCTGCGTAGGAGTGATAGGAAACATTTACTGTTGGCAAGCTCTGCTGAGTGGTGGAGTAGTCTTCCAAGAGAAACAGATGTTGCTTTAAAACAGGGCTGGACAATGTCCTTGAGAGTCTGCTACAGAGCCCAGGCCACAAAGGCAATGGCAGGGAAGAGGTGGGACCTCAAAGTTTTTTTTCCTGTTTTTGTTCAGATTTACACAAATCAATGTCAGTTGATGGTTTTTTCAACCCACATTTGGGGTAAGGAGTAGCAGGGTACTAAGTTTTGTTGGTAGAACAGTATATAATGGGTTGCCCTGTTACCTCTGCCTCTGAGTCTCTTTTCTCTTCTCCCAGTGAGAGGCTCTTCATGGACATGGCAGACCGCCTGGCAGATGATGGCTGGAAGGAGCTGGGCTACGTGTATGTGAACATCGATGATTGCTGGATGGCAAAGCAACGGGATGCATCAGGGCAACTGGTCCCAGATCCTGAGAGGTTCCCCAGAGGGATCAAAGCCTTGGCAGATTATGTGAGCATCTGCTTCTGCTGGAAAGTTTGAGCCCAGAGGAGGAGAGGAGGGGAGAGCAGAATGTGCCTTTTCTATCAGCTGCATTTCAGGTCATGTCCTCAAGGTGTGAGGTCTGTGACATGGTGCTGAGTGGCTCCAACCCCAAGACATATGGGAGGTGATGGTCTCAAACTATGAGAGATGGTAAAGCGCCAACCCCTGGAATTCGTGCTTGTTCTCATGCTCTCTCTCACTCACACTTCCCCTCATGAAAACCCAAGGGCTCTCAGTCTTGCTTTCACAGTCTTTCCTCCTCCTGCAGGTGCACTCCCGGGGACTGAAAATGGGCATTTATGGTGACCTTGGCACCTATACATGTGGTGGCTACCCGGGAACCACACTAGATCAGATCGAACAGGATGCCTTAACCTTTGCACACTGGGGTGTGGACATGCTGAAGCTGGATGGCTGCTACTCTTCAGAGGATGAGCAGGCCCAGGGTAATGTCTGTGGTTCTCTGTCTGTCTTTCCATCTCCTCTCTGGCTTGCCTAGATTTGGAGTCGCACCTCTCACTGAGGCAGGGAGACTGAGGCAAAGGTCTTCCCCTGTGCTACAGCAGACACCGTCTCAGTCTGTGGGTTATAATCAGTAGGTTCTCTGTTGTGTATCACGGTAAAGGGAGGCATGACCACCTTGCTTCTGGTCTCCATCTCTGTAACCCATGGCGTTGAGACTCCACATGCTGCCCTTGGAAACAGGAGCAGCCTCAAAGGGCTCTGGTGGTGCATTTCAGAATGGATGTGCGTAAATGGTGGAGTATGGAGCTGTCCCATGACAAAAGGCCAGTGTTCCCTGCTGTGCTCGTGATGAAGCTTTGTAAGGTCATGTCCTAATGATTTCCATTCTAGGCCTCTGCCTGCTTGGGCCTTTAGAAGATTATCCAAGCCTTCTGAGATGATGAGACTGATGCATGAAATACTTTCTCAACAAAGGGAGAGGTGACTGTAGAGAGCAGAGAGTTGTCCTGACTGGCCATAAGGTGGCACCGCTTTCCTCAGAAATCCTTTTAGTAGTAGAGTGTGAATGTGTTATGGCTTTGTATTTGGGTGAGGAGTCTAGACCATGGGGATCATGTTCCAGCCTTGGGATCTGAGCACGAGTAGGGAGGGCCTCAAATATTTGATCCTTAAGGAAGCAGCTTTTGTTTTTCTCCTCTGGTGCCCCCTGCTCCTCCCCTTCTGTTAACGAGTCACTTAAAATATCTCACAAGAAGTACATGTGAAAAGGTTCCTCAGCAAATATTTTAGTTTTCTCCTGAGGTATAGTATATGGGTTGTAGCTATGGGGTGATGGAGCAATAAGGGAGGCTCTCCTTCAAACACGTATTCATGCGGGGATGTCCAATGTCAGAGTAGAGGATCACAAAGGTCCCTTCTGGCTTAGAAATCTGTTTATCTAGGTCAGTGCCAGCCATCTCCTTGACTTTCTGGATTTCTTGACTCTCAAAGGCTACCCTAGAATGACAAAGGCCTTGAACGTGACGGGCCGTCCCATCGCCTATTCCTGCAGCTGGCCAGCCTACCAAGGAGGGCTTCCACCCAAGGTAAAGCACAGCATGGCACACACTGGGACTTGCTGGATTTTCTTTGATCAGTGTCCTGCCTTGATTCTCCTGGGAGGGTTTCCATTTGGAGTTATGCAGATCCATACATTATGCCTTTTTTTCCACTGCTCCCTCACTCCACGCGTCAGGGTGGGCTTGTGGGCTCCAGTCTCTGAAAGGGAATGTCAGGTGGGACAGAGCTCACTGTTAAATATTTCATGACACCCAGGTGAGTTTTCCTTGAGCTTGCTTTTACATCACCCCTGATACTGTAGTCCAGATGTCAGCAGTGTTTTCTGTGGGGGTGGGGAGCCATGAAGTTCCCCCTTCACCAAAGTCCCTGGTGTCTGGCTGTGACAGCTTAAATTGCTGACAGGGTATAGCCCCCTCCTGCTCACTTCCCCCACTGCACGTTGCCAGATCCATGACTCCACAAACCAGAGGCAGAGGCCCTGCAAGTTGCTGACCCCTGCTCTAGTCCTTTACATCTCCCCAAACTGTCCCTATATCCCCACCTGGTGTACGACTTCTGTATGCCCTGTCATCTCTCTATTTCAAAACTGTGCTTATTTAGTTACAATTCTTTCCTCATAAACTATTTCCCAAGACCATTACCCATTTGCACTTCTCAAAAGATCCTTCTATCTGCTGTTACCTTTCGGACATTGAAGTTCCCAGAATAGTGGGTCTTGCCAGCCCACTTGATTAAAAAATTAGGCAACTGTGGTGTCGATGCCTACACAGTCAAATGGGTTGCAAACTGACTGGAGGATCACACTCAGAGAGTGGTGGTGGATGGGTCTCTTTCGACCTGGAGGGATGTGGGCAGTGGGGTCCCCCAGGGCTCGGAACCTCAGGCCTGCACTGTTCAACATCTTCATCAGTGACTTGGACGAGGGGATGAAAAGCACCTTGTTCAAATTTGCAGATGAGACTAAGATGTGGGGAGAAGTGGGCACGATAGAAGGGAAGGACAGGCTACAGCTAGATCTAGACAGGTTACAGAGGTGGGAGGATGAGAATAGGATGGGTTTCAATACGGACAAGTGCAAGGTACTGAACCTGGGGAGGAAGAACCAGCAGCAGACCTACAGGCTGGGGAACTCCCTTCTAGTCAGCACAGAGGCAGAAAAGGATCTTGGAGTCATTATTGAGGCCAAAATGAACATGGGCCGACAATGTGGGGACACGGTCAGTAAGGCTAACCGCACCTTGTCATGCATCTACAGATGCATCACGAGCAGGTCCAAAGAGGTGATCCTCCCCCTCTATGTGGCACTGGTCAGACCACAGTTGGAGTACTGTGTCCAGTTCTGGGCACCGCACTTCAGGAGGGATGAGGACAGCATCGAGAGGGTCCAGAGGAGGGTCACTCGCATGATCGGGGGCAGCAGGATAGGCCCTACAAGGAGAGGCTACAGGATCTGAACCTGTTCAGCCTCCACAAGAGAAGACTAAGAGGGGATCTGGGGCCATCTACAAACTGGCCAAGGGGGACCAGCAAGCAATGGGAGAGTCCCCATTCCCCTGAGCACTACCAGGAGTAACAAGGAATAATGGCCATAAGTTGACTGAGAGTAGATTCAGGCTAGACATCAGGAAGCACTACTTCGCAGTCAGGGCGGCCAGGAGCTGGAACCAACTTCCAAGGGAAGTGGTGCACGCTCCTAACTTGGGGGTCTTTAAAAGGAGGCTAGACATTCACCTAGCCATGGTCGTTTGACTGCTGCATCCTTTCCTGCCCATGGCAGGGGGTCGGACTTGATGATCTGACTAGGTCCCTTCCAACCCTACCAACTACGAAACTGTGATGATGTGCTCCACCAGTCTGTCAGACATTCCCCTTGATACCCCCTTACTTTTTATCTTGTTCTTTTCCAGGTGAACTACACTCTCCTGGGAAACATCTGCAACCTCTGGCGTAACTATGGTGATATTCAGGACTCCTGGGACAGTGTCCTCGCCATTCTGGACTGGTATTCAGAAAATCAAGATGTGCTGCAGGCAGTGGCTGGTCCTGGCCACTGGAATGACCCAGACATGGTAACTTTGGGCTGTGGATATGGAGATGCAGGTAGTGAGGCTCTTCAGGACCTCCTTCTTAGATGCAGGGCTGGTGATGGTTGGTGGAAGGATCCAAGGGAGCATGATTCAAATCTGCAGATCAACAGAGCTGCCTTGCTGTCTATTCAGCCTTGATCTGCATTCAAAGAATTGTAGAAAATCATTCCACATACCCCTCCCACTGCCCAGCTGCTCTGATCTTCCTTTTTCCCCCCGCCACATGTTGAAAGAGTCTGGAATGGGAAAAGGGAGTTAGTTGTTTTAGCTAATGGATTTGCATTAGGTAAACATCACATCATATTGAACATCACTTTGAACCTCCCTGTGTGAGGTGCTATACTTTTACCCGCTGCATTAGCTAGTCTCAGCCTGCTTGAAAAGGAGCAGAAAGAAGCACCAGCTTCCTGTGCTCACTTGCCACCTGGTGGGTTGGATCCTGCCCTGGGGTAGAATTGCTGTCTCACTGATTGGTTTTACCCTTCTGCTCTTTCACACCTTTCCCCTTTTATCTCACTGCCCCTTCCCCACTGCTCCCTTCTTTGTCCCACAGTTGATCATTGGGAACTTTGGCCTCAGCTTTGAACAGTCTCGGTCACAGATGGCATTGTGGACAGTGCTGGCTGCCCCCCTTTTAATGTCCAATGACCTCCGCACGCTCTCCCAAAGTGCCAAGGAGATCCTGCAGAACAAGCTGATGATCAAAATCAACCAAGACCCCTTGGGAATCCAGGGACGCATGATCCTCAAGGTATCCAAGGGAATGTGTGTGCGTGTGGGTGGGTTAGAGGCCATGAGCTGGAGAACATGAGGCTGGGAATGGGGAACTAGATGGAGGAACAACACCTGAGAGGTTCTGGCTGGGCATCAGGGGAGAAGGTGACCCAGACGCTATTATATTGCCCACAGAAGAAAATCAGTGGATTAACCCATTGAGCCCTGCCTGCTACATTCACCTCTTTGCAACTCAATTCAGAGATGACAAACAAGGCTGTTCAGGTAATCCATCATAAGGATGGAGTAGCTTCTAACTGAAAAGAGGAAATTGAGAAGTCAAGGTATAGGTTTCCTTGCCCGCTTTCCTTCCTTCTGCTTTCTCTCTGTGTCAAAGCTCTCAGTGGAGGGTAAATGAAGTCTATTCTCAGCTTGCATTTTTGACTGATTTACGTTGTTTGGGGGAAAGAAAATAAGGAGTAGAACATCCAAAAGGGTGAAACCTTGAAGGTGTTGATTAGATGAGGTTTAACAATTCAAGGAAAATGTGGTACCTAAAAAGTAAGAATCTTAACTTCCCTGCCTAGATTATCAGTCTTCCTAGATTGAATGATGCCCAGTGGCCCATACATTGACTTCTCTCACTATCTGGCTTTTTCATAACAGCAGGGTTCATGAATTCATTCCCATGTTGGTTCCTTTTTGCCTGCCTAAGGGACTCCTGGGAAGTTTGGTTAGGACAGGTGAAACAAACTAGATCAGGTCACATCATTCACTGAACAACAGAAACTAGAGCAAGTACTTCCTATGGAGTGTGGGGAGGTCAGCATTCGGTCTGTCAGCACTGGAAGATGGGGATTGACATGGTTAGTGGAGGATTGGAAGATGGAGTGGAAGGGGAGGTGTCCTCTTCCGTTGAGGGAAGACTTGAATGATGGAAGTGCTCAGTTAGACTTGTGTCACCTCCCTACAGTGTTCACCTTTTTGTCTCTTGTGCCATGGAAAACCAAGAGTGTTTCCCATAGGTTAACCTTGCCCTGGTTGGTTCTGGGAACTTGGGGCCAAGACATTAGTAAAATGAAGGCCATAGAGCAGGGGTAGGCAACGTTTTTTGGCCAGAGTGCCAAAAAACACCATAATGCCTACCTCGGAAGGTGCCGGAGTGCCAGCATGGCAGAAAAACAAAACGAGGGCAAGGGGTACATGGCAGGATGCCCTGCTTGTGCCCCTGTCCTCCAGCCCTACTGCCCCTTGCCCCCCACCCATAGCCCCTGCCCCCCAGCCCAGCCTCTTGGGCTGCCAGCAGCTACCCTGGCTCTGGGTAGCTGCTGGAGCCCGGGCTGCTCCGAGCAGGGCTTGCAGTTGCCTGCTGGGAGCAGTGCAGGATCCCAGCTGGCAGCAGCTCCCCAGAGCCGGAGCACCTGGCCTGGCTACAAACAGCTGTGCTGGGCTCATCACCTCCATGCCGGGAGCAGGGGAGAGACTGGGGCTGCGCTGCCTCAGCACCCTCCCCCGCTGCCTGCTCCAAGGGGTGCCTGCTTGTGCTGGTGCTGGAGCCCGGCACAGCTGTTTGGAGCCTCCTGGCTGCAGCTGCCCTGGCTCTGGGGAGCTGCTGCCAGCTGGGATCCCCGGCTGCTCCCAGCAGGCAGCTGGGAGGCTGCACGCCCTGCTCAGAGTAGCCCAGGCTCCGTTGCTGGCAGCAGCGTCCCGGAGCCAGGGCTGGCCGCGGCGTGCCAAGCAAAATGGCCTCATGTGTCATGCTCAGCACGCGTGTCAGGGGTTGCTGACCCCTGCCATAGAGAAATCGCAGCCCATTCCTGCCTGCTGTTTCCTGCTGTAACCCTCATGCACAACAGAGAGGAGTATTCAGCACTGCTTTTAGGTCCTGAAGATACAGGTTCACAAGCCATCCTGAAAACCAACAAGTGTATTGGGGAGGAGCTGGGAGGTTGTCTCATTCCCAGAGAGGAAGGGAGAAGTGGTTCCTGTCAGTAACACCTAAACACCTCTCTTTCTTCCCTAGGAGAAATCTCACATTGAGGTGTTCCTGCGTCCACTTTCCCACTCAGCCAGTGCCCTGGTTTTCTTCAGTCGGCGGACGGATATGCCATACCGCTACACTACCTCCCTGGCCAGGCTCAACTTCACAGAGAATGCTGTGTATGAGGTGAGACAGAAAAGCCATGTCAGCTCTGCACTGCCATGACCCATCCCCATGCATCTGCTGTACAGTCCTAAGATCATCTGGGAATCCATCCATTCCAGGTGTCTTATTTCAGTGCAGGACGGATACCAACCCCTCACTGTGCTGTTTGGCCTACCTCTCTGCTCCCAACTTTGTGCAGTGTATGGTAGCATTCGAGATTACAGCCCCAAGCCAAATTTACATTCACCACTCGGGCATGGATTCATGCTTCTAGGAGAATCAAGACAGAAAGCTCAGTCTCTGTGCAGGAAGGGTCTGGTAATACCATACTTCAGGGATTGTGCTTGTCACTTTTAGGGACCAAAAAGAAATCCCAGTTACCAACGAATGCTTTATTTGCTACCTGAGGGTTCTTTTCACCTTCTGAAGCCTTGTACTTTGACTGCATTTATGGGTGGAAGCTTGGCTGTGATGTGCTGGTGGCATTGCTGTTACTTACAAACCTGTCTCGTATGTGGCCAGAAGGTCTTGCTTATGTGCTTATGGTCAAACCAATCCCTAAGTCTAAGGGGGGATCAATTTCCTTCCTTTATGTGGGTGTTTGTCCTCTTCCTAGTGTCATCTGAGCATGCTTTAACCTACAGCAATGATTCTCAACCAGGGGGCTGCAGCACCCTGGGTGCCTCGAGATCCTTTTACAGGTGCCATTTAATGTAAGCACTGTTAGATGTGCAATATTGATTCACAAGATAAACTCAGAGATACCAAATAGGAATCTACAGTGTCCAAAACATTTTGACCTGCTGTGGTCTTTGAGCTCTTTGCGACAGAAGAATTGCTCTTATTTTTTTTTTAATAGACAGAACCAGAAAGTGAAAGCTCAGAACTTTTTTTTTCTGAGGGTTGCCTAGCATCTAAAAAGATTGAGAACCACTGACCTAGAAGTAGAGGAGGTCACATGTCCTATGTATTTCAGGGCCAACTCAACTCTGCATTTTAATTAGTCAGTTCTGCCTCTTGGAGCCTTGGTTCAAAATCCTGTTTTGGTGTCAGCAGAACTAACCCTGACAATCAGTTAGTTAAATTTTTTTTTTTTTTGGATCCATCATGATGATCCAAGCCCAAAAGGGAGTGTGGGGTGCGCACAGAAGGTTGTGTATTTGTCCTGTTGAAAGAAGTAGGAAAAATGGAATCGTATATGAGGGCAGGGATACCTTGTGCCCCTCTTAAAAAAATCCCGTTCACTCAGGTAGATTCATTATTCCTGTGATGGAATAAGGTTACCAGGCCTTGCCAGATGGCTTTGTTTAGCCTGCCAGAGATGACTGCATACCAGCAGTGACAATAGAGCCTTGTGCATAGATGAGCTTTTCAAGTACTTCATGTTGAAGTGTGTGTGGAAGTACTGGTAACAGCCGTGTCTTTTCCAGGCACAAGATGTGTACAGTGGAAACATCATCAGTGGCTTGGCACCCGAACACAACTTCACTATCATCGTCAACCCCTCAGGAGTGGTCATGTGGTACCTCTATCCCACCATGTACCTTGAACAGCCCTTGAACTTTGTCAGACAGCAATCCTCTATGAAGGGCTTTCATCCATTGGTCCTGTGAAGCCAACTGAAGAAAGGTGATGGGGGCCAGCTCAGGTTTTAGCAGCAAGATGCTAGGGTGCAGGCTTCTTTTTGGCACCCATTAGTTTCTTGCTGACACTTTCACCCTACAGGGAACTGATGTTTAAATTGTTCATATTATTCAAGCCTGTGATTTATACTTAAATCTCTCTGTAAAGCAGCAATAACTGTTGCCTACCTCATGGGGATAATGTCCAGCTTAATTCATTAATGATTGTAAAGTGCTGTGGGACCCTCCTATGGCAGATGCCACACAAGCACAGAGCAAAGATGCAATAAGAATGAGCTAAGTACTATTCAACCATTTGGCCTTAATTCCTCTCTAGATAAGGATGGCACCATCACAGGTCACTGGAAAGGCTCTTTTGGATAGATTTTCAGTAAAGCCTTAGATCTGATCTCAGTATCATGAAGAGCTAAGTTCCATACAGGTGCTGGACAGGCAGACGCACGTACTATATGGGGTACCTTTTTTTCTCTTCTCCACCCCCCCACCCCCCCTCCAAAAAACCACATTCTTTAGATCGGAATGACATATAAAAAAAGTCAGCAGGACTCATCCACTTCCAACTGAGACTTACTCTCTTCCAGAGAATAGCACTCCTTTGGGAGTATGGAGCTGTCCTCAGAGCATATGACTGGGCATTCGGCCACTGACATTCAGTCCAGTCTCTGTCCATCACCTTTATCAAACTTCTCATTATACAGCACCCATAAAGGGAGGACAGTTCTATTTACCGGACACGGGGGCTGTGAGGATTAATTGTAACGGGTACATAATGTCTCAGATGCATGAGACATCATCTCAACTACCAACATGCTCATCCATTGCTTATCGTCACACATCTGCTAAACTTCCATTTTGTCCCAACAGTAAGGCACTGAGAGGCTTTGCCATATAGCAGTGGCAGTACAAAGGTTAGAACAGGAACATCCATGTCTCTATCCCGGTTTGAATAATTAATTTGTATTGGCAAAATGGGACACTCCTGTTGGAATCTTCTATCCCACCTAGTTCACAGATCCTGACCTTTTGCCCTGCTTGCAAGCGCACACAGTAGCCCTGAAAGACATTCGTAAAGGGGATTCTTACAGGTACCAGTCCAGAGGGGCAGAATAGGTTCCTGGGAGATATTGTGATAGATTAGCAGGAAGGATGGCAGCTGTTTTGGGTGTGCGTGGGGATGTGTAGAATGGTGGGTGCTAAATGGCTGATGAAAGAATTTCAAAATAAATCTAGACTTGGAGCAGCTTCAAAAGGGGACTTGCACAGACTTGGAGCAGCTTCCAAAGGGGAAGAAGGTGTATGATCCTATACCGACACAAATAAGTTAGACTGCCTCAGTTTTGACTGTGGATGAAGCAGGATTAAAGTCAGAGTGGTTTTGCTACACTTTGTATGGCTACAGACTTATGTACAAGTAACAGTCAGTGTGAAATCTGCTATAAGCTACATGGTCCAGAGCAGCAGTTCGCACTCCCCTTTTGAGGCTGCTTCAAATGTACATTTGTCCATAGTCTAAGTCAGGCTTTTGCATCTGTCCAGTGCCAAAAACAAAATGAGGCCTCCATTGCTCCCATCCTCACCGTCACCTGCAGAGGAGAGCAGTACTGCTGTAATTCCTAGAAATTGCTACTGCCAGAGCTGGCTTGACCTTTTGGGTAGAACCACAACAAGGTTCTTCTGGGTTTCTTTGCCCCTACAACCATACAACCAGAACAGGCCCAAGCAGTGTTAAATCTTGTCCAGACATGGTTATTCCTTGAGCCTCTCAACAAAATCACTTACCAAAGCTTAAAAAAGGATGCAGAGAGACAGGCTGGAGGTGGCCCCTTACTGCAGAGGTGGAGAGCACTGATTGTTCCTTTCCACCTTAGCAAGCAACTTTTATGGATTTCTCTTTGCATTTTCCAGGCTAGGAAAAGGACCAGACACTTAAGTAAGCAAAGTGTTCCTCCTTCCATTTATAGCTACCTGAGATCAGCAGGAGGTGGTGGCCAAAAAGCATCACAGGGACAGCTTTGGCTTTCAAGAAAAGTCTTCAAGTGCCAGGCAGGAGAGGCAAAACCTCAGCCATTGCACTTTACACTGAAACCAGTCAAACTTCCTGACTTCCTAAAGGGATTAGTTTTGCTTTCTAAGTGACTCTGACAGGTTACTTTCTTTTTTTTTTTTATTGGAAATTCCTTAAATAAAAGGGAAGCAAGTCTCAGACCTCACTGTGACTGTTGGATAAGTATGCTGTGTAAAACATCCATTGCCAGCTGTCACTGATCTTTCACATGCTCTTGTACTTCACCTTCTCAGGATATATGCATAATTCCCACACTAGGAAAGAGAATTGTATATCTTTCAGAGGTTAGGTTGATACAGACCTAGGGCTAGTTTTCAAGCTATTACATGGAGATTAATGCTTAAGAAGGCTTCTGTTTTCACTGCTACAATCTAACTTTGGCATTTGCAAGTAAGTTCTCATCTCAAACTTTTTTCTACACTATAACTATGAATTCAAACAGATTTGTTCTTTTCTAATTAAAACAAACCAGTTACTTAATTTTCCTGCTGTCTTTGACTCACAATCAAAGGAAGAACCTGCAAAGTTTCAGAATGTTATGGAAGGATGGAGACTGTTTGAATGACAATGCTTTTATGGAGGGAAGGAGATGCATGTTAAGAGTAATTTTTGTGCCACCTTGGCTACCTAGGTGATATTCCCAGAGCAGTATCAGTCTGGTCCCTCTCTCCCATTTCTAGTTTCAAAGGGCATCCAAGACTTTTTTTTAACTGGATCCTTTGACTACGTTGAATAGATACACTCAGGACCCAGCCATAATGGTTACTGCTGCCCATCTTTGTCCCAATAGCTCCTAACCGAAGTTTTCATATGAAAGGAGCATGGCTGCAGACTGCCAGTTCTTCCTCTTCTGTACAAACTATTCCTGGCTGCAGTGAGGCAAATCATAGATGAGTGACAAGCTGTGTGTTAATCCTATGATGTTGTTCCAGTTTTAGGACAGATGGGACCTGGGACCTTCTACAGGCAACCCTCATTATTTGAGGGGGATATGTTCTCATATCTCCTGCAAATGGTGAAATCTGCAAATAAGACACCGTGGTTCATGAACACCATCTGTGTTCATGAACTCAGTGGCCTGGGGGGGGGGGAGTGGCACAGCTGTTTTGGCAACTGCGGGAGTGTGATGGCAGCAGCAAGTGCAGAGCTCCCGAGTTGCTCCTTTAAGTGTATTTAAGAAGCGGGTTTGGCATTCGTGAATATTTGAAACCGCAAATGCCAAACCCATGAATAGTGAGGGTTTGCTGTATACAAAGGCATAGCTGGATTAAGAAGGCTTTAGCCTTTCAACCAAGCTATAGCTTGTAGTGAGGAAGACAGACTCCTGGCCACAAGTGAGTGGTGTACCCACATTGCTCAACAGCTGTAGTACAGATTGCAGTTCCCAACCTGAAATATTGGACTGAGAGCAGACTTGGTGGCAAAACTATCTTATCTCCTCTTTTGTGGCAGCAGCTAAGTGAAGCTATATGCAACTGCTCCTTCCCAATTTCTTTTTGTGTACTTTGATCCACCACATCTTCCTCTGAAGGAAGTGTGGGACATCCAAGACAGACCAGCTGACAGCAGCTAAACTTGATATGGAAGAAATTTAAAACTTCTCTTGTTATATATGTAACCACAGAAGATGGAACAGCCAAGCATGATGGCAGCAAGAGAAATCCAGGCCTGCTTTTGATCTTAAGCAAGGAAGAATTCAGTGCTAACTCTGCAATCAGAGACAATAGGCCTCCAGCTCAAGAGGAGCTGCTTACTGGAGACAGCCCCAACTACTGCATTTGGCAGTTACAACCTGGCAGTCACTCAGCTGTGGTGCTTGTCACATCACAGGGAAGGAGACTGTGGCAGTTGTGTTCACAAGATTACCCAAAGCAGCCTCCCTCTCCCCAGCTGGCAAGTGGTAAAATGCAGTCATAAAAAGTAGTACAAAAGGGAACAGGGACTACACAGCCACCAAGGGAAGGGCAGGGGCTGCACTCTATGAGCATATAAAACAATGAATGGAGGCACACAGCTAAAGATTAAATGCTTCTGTATTAAAGTGCAATGCAAAAGTTACAAACATTCATAGCTAAACACTTAGTTCCAGAAATTGATTAGAGCATTTCAGACTCTGATTAAAAATGTCTCTTAGGAAAAGGAAAATCAGTCCTTTGCACAGGGCTGTCAAGAAATCTACGTAACATTGGAAACCTTGTAAAGTAGTCCTCCTGCACAGGGAGGAAAGGGGGCAGGAAAATATTCCTTACTCAGTGTTGAAGGGAAGAAGGGTAATCAGGTCCCACAAGGAATCACATGGTTCTCTATTAGACAAGTGAGATGTAACCCTTGGAGCAAAGTCAAAGGCTCCTAGGGGAGAAGAGAAGGGCATAGCTGTGTCATTGTATTTTTGGTAACAGAAGGGAGGGCATTACAGCCATATCACAAAAAAATAATCCGCTTATTGAAAGGATGCTGCATTACCAGGGGCAAGCATGAAGATACCAGCTCCATTTAGGAAGCAGAACGCACCCTGTGCAGTGGAACTCCAGTGTCACGCTCCACCTCTGCTAGGATGCAGATATAAAACTTGAGCCAAAGGGTGAATGCAACAGGAGCACAGTGAAGTGAACTAGTCTGTCCTCCACAATCTAAGTCTCACTCAGCTGGCACACTTGGGGTGGAACAAAGGACTCTGTGCCCACCCCCCTTAGCTAGAGCTTGTTCCCTCTGATGGGAATGTAGGTTGCTGCCAAGCATAGCATCAGTGCATAGAGGTGGAGCCAATTTCTGGGAGCCTGAGGAAGACTTGGATTCATTCCCACTGCCACCATGCTTGTGCTACTTGCAGCCCAAACTCCAGTCACCTCTACCCAACCCTATTAGTTGTTTTACTTTATTTACAAAGGCAGGTGGGCTTTATAAAGCCTTTGCCCATTTCCAGTTCAGACGCCAAGATCCCTTCATTGTGTTGTCTATCACCAGCATCAGAAGGCCACACCACCAGGCTAGCATACGTTGCCATGTCTTCAAGGACATATCTTCCATACACAAGAACATGCTCTCACTAGAGGAAAAGTAAAGGAAAGGTGGTAGGCACCACTGGTTCTCTACATGCCTCAGTGAGTAGAGACCCTCAGCATGTCCCTCAACCACCCATTCTGTGATGGGGGGAGGTTGACTGGGAAGAGAAAGACACATGCACAGAGGATTTTACTGGCAGAGATACAATTGCACTGCTGTTTGCCTCTTCCACCCTTAGGGATTTATATTAGGCTGATTTACTCAAAGCCTGTTCAGAGTCTTCACTGCTGCTTAGCTATTAGGCCTGTCTCTGTGCTACAAAGCTCATCCCCTCTGGCACATACACTACTAAATACTTCTGAACTAGCCAAGTCTCTCAGGAGATGTTTCCTGAATTAAAAGTTGCACCACTTCAACAGAACCAGGAAGACCATGTGTATAGGCTTTTAGCATATCCCATCACTTCCAGTCTTATCTTCCACACCAGACTGTAACAGGTTCCAGGCATATACTGCTGTGGGGGAACATGGCAGCACGCTCCCTCCAAATGCTGCCTCAGACTGTTCAGCAGCTTCTGCCTCAAGTTGTTTCCACTTCAGTCAGAAAGCCTTAATACTTTATTCCTAAAATTAGGTAGGTGCTCTGTCTGTTGGTCTAAGAAATGTGTCAAGGAGAATACGTCTCTCCTCTCAAGCAAAAGAACAGAAGCTATCCTAAACGGACTCTGTTCCGACCTGGAGTATAGAGCCAACAGGCAGAAAGTACTGCTGCTCTGCTTTATATTGCCATACTGCGTGTTTAAGAAGGGTGGGTGTTTATGCCACTCAGTACTAGGTATGTCATATACACACAAACTAGAGATGCACTAAACTGAGGGGGTGGTGGTGATGACAAAAGAGTCTTCATGGAGGAAGATCGTGGGAAGTTGCTTGCTGGGTTCTTTCTGTTAGTTGTTCTTTTTCTCCTCGGGAGGAGCGTAAGGAGGTGGTGGGTCCTGAAAACAAAGAGGATAGTCGGAGTCAACATGTCTGTCTAGCACAAGGCACTGCTGGTTTTAGAAACTGCTCCACTTTCCAAGGATTTGCGGGCTGAGTTCACATATCCAATCTTCCCTGTCTGTTACACCTTTACAGATTTTGAACTCGCAACAGATCTGCATTCAATATTCTAGGCCAGCGATTCTCAACCTTTCATACCTTATGTGCCCTCTGCCGATGGACGAGGCAAAAGCAAAACCAGAAGTCCCACTGTGGCACTTCCAATTTCGCTGCTGTGAGCCGAGTCCCACTTTATCCACCGCAGCCCAGGGCAATGCAGCCTGCACAGGGCCTCCCTCCCTATCCCCCGGCACACTGGACACGGCAGGAGGGGCAGTGGCCAGAACTTCCGGCCTGAGCAGACAAAGACCAGAATGTGTACCCCCTGCCAGTGTCTCATGTACCTCCAGGGGTACGCATACCACTGGTTGAGAAACACTGTTCTAGGTTATTGTTACACTCTAACCTCCCTGGTTTAAATTACATCCCTTGAACCCTGTGTGTCAATTCTAATAATGCTTCAAATGAGGCTTCACCAAGAAGAGATGAACATTTGTACTCAGGAAGCAACGTGACTGGACATTGCATTAATCCTTGCTTTCTCTTCCTTAAGGCCATGGGAAGCATTTGCATTTCCTGTAGCAGTTACACAAGATCTTTAGTCCCAGGCCCCAAAGTCTCGGTCTTCTTATTCCTCTCAGTGCATTATAAGAAAAATATAAACATTTTTTCAAGTAGATCTGCTGTGGTGGAATAAGACTAGGCACAACTTTGTGGCTACCCCAAGATATGTGGAATCAAGCCCTATGCCTGCAGATCACTGTTCTAGGTTCCTAAAGCCACAAGAACGCTTGGCCATCTCCAGAGAGTACCAAAAGAATCTAAACCTGTATCATCTTCTCTCTTTATAAGTCTAGTCTTCATTTCCTTCTGTTCCAGAATAAGTTGAGAATGCTACATTTTCTAGACAGAAGGCACTGTCATGCACGTCTTAGCGTCATCTTGTTTTAATCAAGGAGAAAGGTAACTAACATTAAACACTAAATAAGGATCATTCTGTTACCCTCAACATCCCTAGCCATTCAACTTAAAATGTCAAGTGACTCCAACCTACTGCTGTGAAAGGCAAACCAACTGCCTGTGGGACTCAGGAAGTATGGGTCAGTAACACGCTCTGCTAAAACAAGCCAAGTGTCCTGCTTCCCAGTGCAAAGCTGGCATGTGCTATAGGCCATGATCTAACAAATCTGTTGCACTCAAGCAGCAGGATGTTCAGTATTGAGCTTGGTATCTGAACAGCAAACAGCATGCAAGCAAGAGAAGCAGAGTTCCTGACCCAACAGGACCACACAGCCAGAAGCTTACCATAGGCATGTAAACATTGTGGGGGTTGGCTGGGTTATAATATGCACTCGAAGCCGCTTCCGCTGCTTTACTGTCACCTACAGAATAAGGCAAGAAAATTGGTAGAAGTGTCTTCCTAAGTTGTTCTACATCTCAAAGCATGAGGCTCAATTTATATTTGTAATACATTGCTACTTTATGTAGGGGGAAGAAAAAAAAAAAAAAAAGAGAGAGAGACCCAGAAAGGTTAACAGATTTGCCCAACATCAAAGCAAATCTGTGGCAAACCTCCCTGCTCTGGGCTTTACCTACCAGACCTGGGTTCCTCATTAATATCCAGGGTTTGACAGCTCCCTGAGAGAAAGGCCAGGCTCCCAGGCCCTCCCCACCTCTCACCCAAGAGATTTACTGCACAAATCTAGTATGCTTATTAGCCTAAGCTAACACTGTACAAAGTAGCACTGGAATCTAAAGATATTGCCCATAACAAGCTAGTGTTCAATCTATATTAACTGACCCAGACCTCCCATTTCCTTTGCAAAAATTCTGTCCAAACACTCCCTCAACCCTTTTAGTAGCTATATTAAAAGGCATGGCACAGAAGCCATTCTGCACACTCCAAGTATTCATCTTTCTGTATCTAAATGAAGGACAAACAGATTTCAGTGCAGCCAGTTCTCAGCTTTTATTTGGACCAGTTCATAAAAGCAAGAGATCTGCACAGCTTTTCCTAGTAGTAGCAATCTGAAACTTTCCTCTCCATCCTTTAACAACAGCTCACATACGAGACTAAGAAATGGATATTTCAGAACTACTGTAACGACAACAACTCCCCTGTTCATAGCTACAGTCAGTCCTTCCCCGTACCTGACAATCCAGGTTCCGCCCAGGCTGCAGGGGCTGAGGGGGCCGATGGTCCTGCTGGTGAAGGCCCAGTATATGGTGGAGGAGGTGGCATATACACAGGGTTCATCCCTGAAGAAACACAAAAGTAAAATGACATTTCAAACTATTCCTGTGCGTTACAGTCTTCCTGTAAACCCTCCCTGTTGCATTGCATCTCTTGACAGAAACAAAGGTGAAGTCTCATAAGTTTGGAGAACAAGAGTTCAACATCAGTGACTTTCTATTTCTCTACAGCCTTAAGGACCTTGCAGACAGCAGTGCTCATATTCCAAATGTGGATGTGATTTGCGATACTGCAGCCTTCCCTTCCTGTCCTGCTAGGGTTAGAGAGACATAATAAGGAGATGCAATACTATTCCACCTGGATTTCATTGGGTCACTCCTTGCCCTTGCTAGAAAATCCCTGGAAAAAAGCCATAACTAGTCAAAGTTATCATAGATCTATCAGTACTGGTCAGCGATGAAGGTGTTTCTCTGCTGATGGACTGCTGCAACATCATCAAGCCTAGAGCAGCGGGCAGACATCCCCAGGAGTTTAAAGAAAAATTAGATGGAAGATAATAGTCTTCTTCATTCTGCCAACACAGCCCTTTTACAGCTCATGCTGTACACTCTCTCAAACTATACTAGCATACTGCACACTGTGTGATTTGACAAAAGCATTACCTGCAGGTGGTGGATATGGGTAGCCCATCGGTTGTGAAACAGGTCCATATCCATTCATTGGTGGAGGCACATAAGGATATGGTCCATTAGCTGGTGGAGGTGCATAGCCACCTGGGGCAAGTGAATAGCCACCTGGGGCAAGTGAATAGCCACTGGGAGCAGGCGAATAGCCTCCACAGGCTGGCATATAGCCATAGCTAGGATTCTGAACAGGAGCCCCTCTGGAAGCTGAAGAGGACAAAGGTTAGCAAGTCAGACTCTTCTCTATTGCTACATTTTAAACTTAACTGCAATGTGTGTAAAGGAAAAACCACCCATGAATTTAGTCTCATCTGCCTGGGATCCAGGACTGTGACCTACCTGAGTCCTGCCACAATTGCTCTGCCTAAAAACATCTAGCAATTATTTTCTCCTCTCAGCTTTACACTCTAGTCCCCAGCTGACAACCAAAAGCAGAGTCTGCATGTGGAGGCTATGGAAATAAACTGAATAATCTGCAACTTCTACATATTTATGTACCCACCTTTGCTAGCTAGATTTTTTTTTAACCTGAAGAGTTCTCTTTTAAAAACTACACTTTCCAATCAGAAACCCACTCCTCCCACATCAGCATTTCCCATAGCAAAATACCATTAAAAAAAAGTTTCTTAAAAAAGAGTATTCAGGAAAGTCTAAACAGTCATTTTAGTTTATTGAGTGGAGCATAATTTTTTTTCCCCACTTAAGACTATATACTCATATTTTGGAAGCCAAGCATCAGTTACTCTCCCTCCCCAGCATTGTTTTTCCTCCCTGTAACCTTTAACTGTTTTAACACTTTCTCCTCAATTGGGAAAATGAGCATGGTTTCCACACAACTCCATATTTTCCAATTTGTTCCAGTTAGGCAGTCTCTCCTAATTGGATCTCTTAAATAAGCCAAATCTAAAACACATTTTCCCAAACCAAAACAAACTTCCCATGTTTCATTTTTGTCTTGTTTAAAACCAAAACAAAGGCTCACTGTGGAAAATCCAAACTTGAAAAGTTTAAAGAGGCTATTTTTCCAGAGGAATTTGCCACCCTGAAAGTTACTGTTGTCTAACCAACTCAGCTACAAAGCACATAAGCCTCTGAAGCTCCCTTACCATTAGTGGCAACTTTGAACATCATTTGCCCGAACTCAATGGCTCCTCCACTGTTGAAGGTCAGTTTAAATGAAGCTTGCCCTTCCCAGCCACCTAGGAGAGAAAGCTACAATTAAAATAGGCCCTTATAATACCAGGCTTCTAAGTGACTGCTACCACAAAGAAGCAACCAACTAACGTGAATTCGGATAAGGGAGCAGGTACAGTCATATTGGTTGAATCTGTTTGCAGAACCTCACAAACTTAAACAAAAGTTTAAGTAGAGTATTGATGTGGCTGCAGAACACCAGCATAAAAAGTACCAGGGTTCCCCTCCACCCCCGTCTTACTGTGCACAGCTAAGAAAATCCATAGAAGGACTTATCTGGAAATTTCCACAGTTTAAAAAAAAAAAAAAAAAAAGGAATGTCTGCTACACGCGTATGTAAAAGTGTTGACGTAGATTCAATCCAGGTCATTTGGGGTTGGACTGGAAAAAAAACAAAACCCCAAGAACTCTTGAATGGGAGACTTTACTGATGATCTCAATGGACTTTGAATCAGGGCCTGAAACTCAAGTTAGGATCTGAATGAAATATTTCATCAGCAGGCTCCAACCTCTTTGATCCACAGGAGCTCAGACAGATTATAAAATCTTTGGTCTCAGGGGATTTTTCAGAAATTCCTGAGTACATAATAAGAAATCCAAAATAAGCCACCTGGACTGGCCAAAAAGAAGCCTATCTTCTTGATAAAACATAGACCTTACTGGAGGTCAACTGAGTAAAACAGTACAAGGTTTTTAAACAGCTTTCAGATGGGGGATTAATTACTTAGACTTAATAACAGCTCAGTCTCAGCCCCCTTTGTCCGGTAAACACATAACAGAAATTGTCCCAAGATGTCTTTAAGAAATTGCTGGGGGGGGGGGGGGGGGGGGGGGGGGGGGAAAATGGGGGGGGGGGGGGGGGGGGGGGAGGAGAAGAGTCTTTCCTTTGAAAAAAACTAGAGGAAGTCAAAATGATTCAGTGTGCGCGCGTCGAGGGGGGTGACAAGTTAAAGGAATGTAGCAAATGAAAGGCACAGTAAAAGGTGCAAGGCATGCTTACAGTTCTGTTTCTTACAGTGCTAAGGTGTCATGACTACTATAGGAGCATCCCCCCAGACTGGAATTTAATGTCAGCGAAAGGTGCTAAATTCACAACCCTGAAAACCTAGCCATGCTAGAACAGAGGCAGGTGGTAGTAGTGTACTCTAGATCTCTCATTCCACCCACCTACTTCACATTGGCAGGGACAAGACCTAGAACTGAAGGGGAGCTGTCCCAATGGTTGTTTTGTCTCAGTTTTTATCTCTGTGACTGCCAAGTGCTAACTGTGGTTTCTATGATGTAGACACCTACTAGGAACCAGATCAAGACCACGACATCATGTACACATCACATGACAGCTACGTTCAAAAATTAAACTCAGGATCAAATCCAAATCACTGCTGTACCATCATATGCAAGAGGTACACACAGGTAGTATAACTTAGAAGCATCTGATGATTTTCAGGAAAGCAAGCTCTCTTTGTACAGGCAAACTGCAAGCCACTGCTAGAATCAGTGACTGATGTCAACCCCTCCCACCTCACAGCTGTAACAGCTATGGGGGCAACAGAAACAGAAATTCAGAGAATAGCTATGACCTAGATGTTAACAAGGAAGTTAAGAGATTTAACAAAAATATCCCGTGCCAAATCAATTATTCCACTATTACTCCATTCTAGAAGTAAAGCCACTTATTTCAGAATACTACATCTATACAGACAGTCACACCAGCACAATTATAATGCAATCACTCTGTCAGTCATTTTTTCCCCCATGTAAACAAGCCCTTTATTAGAAATGTGGGCCAAGAAAAGAGGACACATGGGAAGCTCAAAGGCAAGGCTATTTGGAGCTGCAATGCCTTACCTCCTGCCTCAGCCTGGATCACTCCTTTGATGAAGTTGGCAGAGAAGACAGGCTGCTCAATGGAGCACCCTTTTACCAAATAGAATGGCATCATGAAGGACAGCATGGGGTCCTTGCCCTTTGACACAAAAATCATCTGCAAGACAGGAAGGAAGACTGAAGTCATTGATTTACAATCAGTAAGTCTATAAATACCTACAGTGAAAGAAATACTTTAAAAATGTTCAAGACAGTTCTGTTTCTGAAGGCTACTAAGGAGAACTAAAGCTGTGATATGATTAAATCCAAGTCTGCATAGCTACTATATCTATCACTCAGAAGCATCCTCAAATACTTTGCTGACTATATGCAAGGCTTACCCACCTGAAACACACCCCTATCTCCCACAACAATGTGCAGTTTGAGACGCTATACATTTGGAAATTCTCTCTCTCCTGAAAGCCACAAGCCTCATTTGTAAGCCTGCTGGACTAGAGGCCTATGGAATCACTGGAGGAAACAGGGGGAAACCCACTGACTCAAGACTTACCCTGTAGGGAGTAAGGTACAGCATTCCTTTCTTGGTGCCTCTGAACATATCAGACCTGTCAGACACATCGCTGAAGGAGAGCTCCACATCTTTACAATGCTTGAGAATACTGCAGGAAGGGGTGGGGAAGAGACATAAATTAGAGGTGCACAAACTAAGAGACGTTCCCGAGCTATGAACAATCCCACAAGTAACCACAAATTCTGAACTGTCTCTGAAAGGCTCAGCTCTGATGTGGGTCCAGCCTACTCCCCCAAGTATATCTGCATGGTTTATGAAAATCTGAAAACTCTCCTCAACCACCACAGATGCCAACCTGGCCCTGAAAAAGGAAGCCCCTTACTTTGCATGACAATTGGCTTCTCCCTACATCTCCAAAACCAGGAGGGGAAGTTGTGGGAGGAACAGTGCTCTTCTCATTGGAAGCAGCAGGATTTACTGCAACTTTTCTTTTGAAATAATTCTCTCAGAACATGCCACTATTCTGATTTGTCCAGTACCCGGACATCCTGTGTCCAATTTTAGATGCTACAGGGAAATGAGTATCTTCAATAATTCAATTCCCACCAAGCAAGCTATATTACTGGGGAAATAACTTTATAGCTAGACTAACTGCAGATGTTACATGTAAACTTGTAAGGACTGTAAGCTAATATTAATGACTCAGAAAACTGCACAGAAAACGATGAATTGAGGAACCACAGAGTGCAGTGACAAGATTGTCTTGTTCAGCAGTGATCTAGGACAGGTAGTAATGTCTTAATAACATTTGCTATGGGCACTAAACTGATAGGAACTGTGAGCACTAATAAGTACACAGAAACAGGTACATGGAGAGGTAAGAAACCTAATGAGAAGATAGAGCCAGCTTAGGAAAATGCATGTCAGTGAATCTGAGTAAGTGATCCCACAAAGATCTCGAAGTAAGAAAAGCTGGGGAAGCAGAAATGCTGAAAGAGATTTAGGAATGACAGATCTTCAGTATGGTAAGGCAGCAAAGAAAGCCTCCTCCAGCACACATTTTGGCAGCATAGAGGAACCACAGGTGAAGGTAGCTACATATACCCATACTATTGCATGGCCCCACCTGGGGAAATTACTAGGAATTCAGGGACCAGTAAAACTACTGGCGAAAAGAAGTTAGAGAATCTGGGTCTTAGGAGAAGAGACTGAAAATGAAGTAGGCTTGCTGTGAGTTACCCAAGAATAAAAGACAGGATAACAATCCACAAGACCCAGGCATTAGAGGAGGGAGACACACACCAGGAGGGAATTCTTTAGGGTATTCATTAAAACTACTGGCATTAAAATTAAAAGAAAAACTCAGCTTGAAGAAAAAAAGAAAACTGTAACCATGAAATCTAACAGGCTGTCTAACAGTCTCCCACAGAAAACCAGTCTCTCTGCCATGGTTGGGAAGAACGGAGTGAATGATATAACAGGTCTTTTCCACTTCTATGATGCTGTGGGGAGCCATTTCTTCCTAGCTAGGTCATGTAGAGCTGTGCTCCAGTTCTGAATCCTACAGAGCTATTTATTTGCCTCCACAACGTTCTGGGACAGCAACTTCCATAGGGCAGTTTTAAATTAAGAATTCCTACAGATCCACTTTAAGGTCTGCCTTTTTAAAAAAGCTTCATTTATTTCTACAATATATACAAAAGCCAATTAACAGCAGCCAGCATGTTGCAATTAAGGTTTGTTGAATAGTTTTAATTTTGCATACCAGCCTGGGATGCCATAGGGTAGCCCGACTCTAATGAGAGCTGGCTTTACCAAGCTGTGAACCAGCCTAAAAGTACCCTGAACAAAAGCCTCTCTCACACCTCCTCTAGTGGCATCTGTTAGCAGTACACAACATAAAAAGCACATTTTATATCATAGACTCAAATTAGAAAAGTAGGGCTCTGAAGGGACCTCCAAAGGTGTAGTACAACTCCCTGCCTGAGGCAGGAACATCTCTATCTAAACCATCCTATACAATCCACAATCTAAACTCTGCATAACACTACAGTCAACCCTCATCTATTACAACTGAAGTATTCTGCACAGAAGTTACCATCTTGACAAGTCTTGAAATACAACAAGCAAACACCCAGCTTAAGCAATGGAACTAGGCTGGGCCATTTCATAATCTTTAGCTAGACTGACTTCCTTCTTTGTGCGCAAACACTTGGGTTTTAATGCTGCACGGAAGCGTTTTGTAAAAACAAACTGTGTAAGCCATCTACACTCATTTTAAAATGGTACAAACAACGTTTGTATTAGGTTTGGGAAGACTCCCTTTTCAAAATAAAACAGAAGGCCTAAATTAGTTCCTAACAGATCATAGCTAAAGACCAGACACTGACCTTTAGTTACTGACTCTTTTAGTCACAAAAAAGCCACTAGCCTCATGTAACACTGTCACTGGTCTTGCCTACTTGTAGAATTGTAGAGAAGTAGGGCTGGAAGGGACGTCCAGAGGTCATCTAGTCCAACCGCCTGCCTGAGGCAGGATCTTCCCTATCCAAACCATCATCTAAACTCCACATAAGTCTGCTGTGACACAGCACAGACCTAACACCCTAATCTGCTCCAGGGGAACCACGGCAGCCAATGTCCTGCTTCTGTGAAATGTTGTCACTGTATGCTGACTGGGTCCTGGCCATGTCCCCTGCTACAGAGCAAGGCAAAAACCTTCAGTCTGTACCAATCTGACCATGGGGTGAAATTCATATGGACTTATTCCCAAACTCAGAAGTCTTTTGCACTGCTCTGATGAAGAGCAACTAAGACTGGACAGGGGCAGTGCTTCTTACTAAATCGATCTCACATGAAGATTACCTCTGAGCCCAGTGAGGCAGGATGGAGAATAAGAGAGAGGTTTGATAGTCCAGGAAATCTCAAGCAAGGAGTTAATCTAAGTAAAATCTTGCTGGGTGAGGCTTTTTGCCAACAGTTGCTTTACACAGAGGATTGCACAGCCCTTCCCAGCACTCGGGCCTTCACACAGAAGCCAGCCAGGAAAACCGGCTCCTCCCAATTACTCTCCTGCAGCTGGCGAAAGGGCCGTGTTACTCCTCATTTTTATGCTACGTGCTTGACTGTCCCCACGTGACAAGGTGAAATCTAGTTTCAAGCACCCTTCTGCCGTCTCAAAGCTACGCCCCCTGGGGTTGGTTTATCCAGGACTTGTCTCTCTGCTACATGCAGGGGGGGGAAGGGGGGGTTCTCCAGAGATAAGGCCACCACATTTCAGTCCTCCAGCATCCCAGGATGCAGCGTCCCCTCCTCCCTCTTCTGATCCCTGTGGACAATCTTCCCCTGCCTTGAACTCTATGGACAGCACGCCAACTCCCCACCCAGCCCAGCCCAGCCCAGTCCCGGGAGGAAAGCCAGGAAGCCCAGCAGGCTGATCAGACTCAAAGGGGGACACTGGACCTTACTGGGACGCTGGATCTTGCCCCAGCCCCAGGGGACCACCCACTGCCTTGAAAAGCACCTTGGAGCCCCAGTGCTCACCCCGGGCTCAGGCTCCCATTCCCAGCCGGCTGCGAGGCACCGAGGTGGGGACCAGGGCTCAGCCCGCCCCGCCGCCCGGACCAACCCCCGGGCCTGCCAGGGGCTCCCGGCACAGGCGCTGCCCCGCCACGTGCCCCCCAAGACGTCACCGCTGACTTGATATCGAATGGGACCGCGTCATGAAAGGGCACGTCACGCTTTGTGACGCAGCAGCGCGCGTGACGCAGTCGGGACTTGTTTGTGTTTCTCCCTCCGCTCCCCCGGCCACGCCCCGAAGCCCCCCGCGCCGAGGGACGGACACACGGATGCGCAGCACTGTTCCCGTCCCGTCCCGCCCCGCCCGGTACCTCTCGCCCGAGGGCAGCAGGACACCACCGCCCGGCGCGTGGCTCCGGTTCAGCGCCATCTTCCAGCCGAGACTGACAACAACACAACACAACACCCCTTCCGTGACAGCGTCGGGCCCCGCCCCACCCTTCCCAGCCTTGTGCCGGGGGACCCGCCCCTTCCCCGTGATCTCTCGGGTCCCGCCCCAGGCCTTCTCTTCAGGCCCCGGCCCTTCAGTGACAGCTCGGGCCCCGCCCCTTCCCCGTGACCTCATCAGGCCCCGCCCCCCTCCTCGCGAGGGCTCGCCGTGCCCTTGCCGACGCAGGCTGAGGGGAGGCGGGTACGGGGTTTTCCGACAGGCAGAAAAGCTGATCCCACCTCGCCTCCTTGATTTGCTGCGCTAATTTTGGTCTTCGTGACGTCACCAGATTTCAGAGAGCAGTCGAAACACTGAGGGGCAAAAGCAACCAACGTGACTTGTGAAGTAAAATAAAGAGGTTTGGCTAAATAACCGAGACTGCAAATGTATTTGAAAGGTGCAAGCACTAAGCAATGAGAGGAACTGTCCAAGGTGGTCAGGGAAATTAATGCCGTGTTACCGTTCTGGTGGCCGCATCGGGCTAACCTCTGTGATTTTTGTGAAAGAAAGGAATATTTAGGCTCAATTTCAGGAGATCTGCCTAGCAAGAAAGTGTATTAGCCAGAGAAATGCTCTCCCAAGAAGCTCGTTGCCAGAGTCCTATAACATCACATTGGATAAAGCCCAATGTAAGATGCAAGTTACTAAGCATGCAGAGGGGAACAGATTTCCTCTACGTGGGAGCTTCACTGCCTATAGGTGCGGGGTTGTACTACCTGAGGATAGTGCTGGAAGGGTACTGAATGCAGGACTGGAGGAATCCTAACTGTCAAGGGAAGGAGGGAATAAAATGCAAAAAAGTAAAAAAGAAACAAGCCAGGCATTTGTTCAAACAGCACTGTTTAGTTTAATGGTACAATACAGATAGAAAGTTAAGTCTAGCAACTTTTACACCACTAAGGTCGTGTGTTTCTGGGGGGTTTTCAGTCAGTGCTGGACTGATACAAGAAGACTCCATCATGATACTGTCGTGGGGTAGGGAATGACAGGAACCAGGTGTCATTCACTCATGCATGCTTTCATTTCTTGCTCCATCAGATCTCAGTGAGATTGAATTCTAGTGCACTTGCTTTCAGGTAAGAGACGTGGGATCTAGATTTCTGAAAACCTTTGGGTGCTCCTGGATATGTGATGGTGAGAACATCATTGTCAGAGGCAAGGCAGGGGATCATCTTTCTTTCTTTCTTTCCTCTGTGCTGTGTAAGCCTTGGTGCCCTAGAGCTTCTGCATGGATTCATAAGTAACTTTGAAAGGGTGAAGGTGAGTAGATGTCTCCTTATTTCTAAGGGACATTTTCTTTCTTCTTTATAGTACAATGAAGAACATCAGAATTTAGGATGCATTTGATGGTTTTCACTTGGAACTGGGGGAAAAGGAAAACTCAGGGTGTTTTTTTCCCTACTATTTGGTAGTATGCATTGTACTGGATCTTCAGCTTTAATGAGGCAGTTGCCTGTTTTCCTATTGGGAAGCATTAATTCACCCCCTGCACTGCTTCAGGATTTGCTCTGAAAGCAACAGGTCTGTCTTCAACCTAGTGCTGCTGATGGAGTTGCAGTATAAATGAAATTGGAAAGGGGAGAAAAGGTGAGACAACTGTGGGTATGCTGGCCAGTATCAAAGGACAGGCCGCATTTGGTAGGAAGAAGTAATCTGTTAGGAAATGAGCCTGGGCCCTTTACTCTTTGTACCACTACCAACATTTGGTTCCTTCCACATGGACTTGACTGTTCAAAGCACATATGGACAGAGGGAAGGCAGCGAGTCTAGTTGCTATAGGAGAGAAGTAGTAATAAGGCAGCACGGATTCTATTCACAACTCTGCCCCTGATTTCCTGTGTGACCCTAGGCAAGTCAAGTTCATCTCTTTACCTCAGTTTGCCTCTGTAAAATGGGACAAATCATAGTTACTCACTTTTGAAAGTATCAGGAGGTCCCTGGATAACAAGCATTATATATTTTCACAGTGTTATTACTGAAACTTATTTATTGTTGTATTAAATAGTATATTTTCATCAGGGAAGAACTAAATTCAGATAAAGCACATCATATTTCCAGTGAGGTTCAAATATTTTCCCAGATGGATTTACTGATAGACAATGTTAATCATACTTAAAGGAAAATCTTTTTTACCAAAAACTTCAATTCACTATTGAAGTGCTATTAAAATGCCCAGTTACCAAGATATGGCTAAATAGCATGGTCAGTGCTTCACTTCTGTATATACCCCCTTCCAAACTTTTTTGTTTTGTCTGTTATGGAAAGAAAAGCATCCCATTAAAAATGTAGTGGCTAACATGATAGATTAGCTATTAGTGTGTGAAAATGTTAGCTGCCATGGGCAACTGGTGCCTCCCAAGTCTGGGGGGGCACCAGATCGCTGATGGGGGGGGTGTCCCCCTGCGGCCAATTGCTGAGCCAGCAGCAAAACTGGAAGTGCACTTCCACTGGCACTTCCAGTTTCGCGGCTGGCACTTGCAGGGGGTGCACAGCCGAACTCAGGGGGTGTATGTGCACCCGTGTGCACCCCCTACGTGTTGCCAGTGTTAGCTGGTCATTAATCATAATGAGCTAACATGCTTTTAAACACACTGTGCAAGGCAAAATCAGGACATGATAGTTAACATCATGGAACAGGCTCCCCCCCGATACGATACAGTCATCCACCCTGGTGATCTTCAAAAAGCGTCTTGATGCCCATCTTGCTGGGGTCGTCTGATTCCAGCAGTCTTTCCTACTCAAGTACAGAGGGGCTGCACCCAATGATCTGTAAGGTCCCATCAAGCCCCTAACAACTATGAAACTATAATTTTTCCAGTATAAAGCCTAATAGATTACACTGTGCAGCTCATACTGGTGAACATCTACAGGAGTGTGTAGTCAATGAGGCTTTGAAGTCAGTGGAACTCTTTGTAGAAACAAACAGCTCCTTGAGCACAATTTGAGCACTCTGTCCTAGTATGTTTGGCAAATTTTTGGCATATTGTGGGGCCTATTAAAATAATGGCTGATAAGGAAGGTGATTTTACTGGCTCAGGATCACACAGGAAGTCAGTGAATAACCTGAGTGAACAGGAATCCATCAAGACTTCTTCCAGGTTGGACCACCACGCCCAGCTTCCTTCCCCAAGTACAGTATCTATTACTCACATTCCACATAGACAAGCCCTACTGAGCACAGTGCATTACCCAATATCTGTGATTGAAATGATAGATATGGATGAAGGGAAACCCCTTTTCTGAGCATGAGGTCTTCCTAGCAAGGAAGTATCAGCATTCTGTAGCACTCATTGTTCAGGCTCACAAGTCATGTAGAGGACCCTATCGCTGCCACAAAAATACTCTGATTTCACTGGAGTTGATAATACTCTGCCACAGTCCACATCAAGGGGTGATACCACTGGGGCAGCAAGTGTAGTTGTCTCAGAACCTCCCCACTGTGAACTGGTTAAAGATGTCCATTTTCAGCTTCATCCTTTAGCACAATGGCAGCAGAAGCACTGAAGAAGTCTTTGCACTGCTGCGGGCTTAAAAGGATACATACTGTTATGAACAGTAGCAGCTTCTGAAAGACCCTTCACCTCACAGCAGGTGAGATGACTGTTTATGTGCGGCACCACTATCAACAGACCTGCACTCTGCAGCGGGGTGAGGCTGACTGATATGATTGGCTGGACAAGAGTAATTCTGTGGCAGCTTTCACCCTGCATTAGATGTGTGAATGGCTGATACAAATGGATAGACAGCCTTATATAAGATGTTTTTCAGCCCCCACTGGGGCTGAGAACAGATGGCATGGAAGCTTGCAGCACACCGAAGAGTGGGGCGGGGGGGGGCAAAATGCGACCTCCGGGCTGGATGCGGCCTGCCAGGACATTCTATCTGGCCCGTGAGGCCCCTAAAAAATTTAGAAAATTAATATTAATCTGCCCCTGGTTGCCTGTCATGTGGCCTTTGATGGCTTGCCAAAATTCAGTAAGCAGCCCTCTGCCCAAAATACTCTTGTACCACTCTTGCCCGCCCCTGCCAAAGAGGCTTTTGTCCTACATCCTGTCCAAGAATATCTGGTCCAGATGCAAGAACTGCATTGGTACTAAGAGTTACAGAAGTGGATGGGAGGACAGGACTGTATTATTGAGACCTTCACACACCAGTGATAATGAGAATGACTGATTTGCTTGGATAGACAAAAGACGTGCTAAAGAGACCTTTGCCCTGCAGTGATGGCACTAGCTAAAACCATAGGCAGGCACCATGCAAGATTCCCTTACACAGCTCTGCTAATGAACAGCACTTCAATTGCTCTCTGCTTTTCCAGTCCTGGGCTCCATACAGTCCTGTCAGTATGTCTCAGTTTTGACCCACAACACTCTCTGCTTATTCAGTTGCTGGCATCCTCATACACAGCTCTTCCAAAGCACCTCAATCTTGACACACAACATTTCCTGCTTGTTGCAGAGCTAGATGATCCACACTGCTCCGTTAATCCTCCTCAGGTGTTACCTACTGCTATTTGAGCAGTAAGGGATGATTGTCAGATATATGATGTGTATCCTCCTGGGATACGACAGAAATTCCTAAACTCATTGCACTTGTGATTTACATCAGATTTGATTGAGTGCATCACTTCTTTTGCATTTTCCTCTCATTCTTGCTGCATTCCAAATGACTGGTTTTGATACTGAATAGAAGAAAAAATGCTAGCCCTTCATTGGTAGAATATAAAGTGTTAGGTGGTAGTAGAAAAGAAGTATTAGAATATAGAGGCATTGGTGTTAAAGAAACCATATAACCTCTTGATGATCACATATAGTCCTAACCCATGGGTTGGTCTCAGTGCTGAGAAGATCACAGCCCCTACATCATAAACCAGGTCATCTCCCTGAAGATAAGAAAGGAAAACCAATACAGCTATTCATGTGTGGAAGCTGTGGGAAGACTAATAATAGAAAATTAGGGCTGGCAGAGACCTCAGGAAATCTTCTAGTCCAACCCCCTGCTCAAAACAGGATCATTTCTGACCAAAGTGTCCCAGTCAAGTGTTATTTTTTTCTAACCTGCTCTTAAACCTCTGCATTTGTTTGGCATATGAAGAAAGATAATAAAAATGGCTGAGCCTGGGGAGGACTAGGTAGAAAGATAACTAATGCAAGGGAGCCTGGAATGAAAAATAAAAAAGCATTTCTTCATAAATTAAATAAGAAAGAGAGCAATTTTACATTCCTATGACATCCGTCTTTCATCCCAAAGGATCCCAAGGCAATGGATGCCAGTGGCCATGTGGCATGTCAGTGGAAGATTCCAGTAGGAGGTTCCCCAGGGTATCTGTCTGGAAGGTCACAAGATATCCACAGTTTTCACTCCCTCAGGGCAGTGGGTCCAGAAAACACAACCCCAAACAAGGTGGTCCTGGCCAGTCTAGGGAGTAGATGGAGCAGCTGATGGTAATGTCTATTTTTTCTCACCTCCCTTCCCTAAAAGCACTAGCCTTTACAGCATAAAAAGGGATGCCATACTGCTCCATAAAAGAACTGAGAATTGCTGTCATATGGGAACTCATTCTAGTCCTGGGAAAGTGGGTTCCTCTCCTTTACAGAACTCCTTTTCCTTTCCCATCAGCACCCCTTTACACATCCTCTTCTTCCTCTATGAATGCTCTAATGCATGGTCCCCAGGCCAGGATCCATGGATTGCTGGGCTTTCATGAGGCCATGACAACCAGCCCAGAGATCACACCAGCCCCCATGCGCCTTCAGAGGGTTTCTAATGAGAAATTGGTGCACAGTGGTCCATGAGGGAATCTGTTGATTGTCAGTGCTCTATTGATCCCGGGATCAGAAACTGTTTCTGTAGTACTACTGTGTAACTACTAGGTCGGGGCAACTTGGGGAGTCACCTTAGGTGCTGATTTGTAGGGGGAAGAAAAATATCAGTTGGCACCATAACCACATGATCATGCTGGCACCACAGCAGCAGCTAGAAGTCATCTCTGTCCCCAGGCATCCCACTGCTCCAGGCACCTGGCTGATTTGTTACACCTCTACCTTTGACCAGTGGCTAAATGCCACAACCTGGCCCTTAGTAAAGATCTCAGTATTTGTCCCTCAATTAATATTCATTGTTTTTATCTTCTCCCCCGCCTCCTCTGATGGGAAAGTAAAACAATAGCTTTTAGATGTTATGCAATGAACTCACACCAGTAATACATACAGGATCTTTTAGGAGATATCAGCTATAGAAGAACAATAGGCAGCCAAGTAGGAAGTAAAGTAATGTGAGAAGAGATCAAGAGAAAGGAGAACTAAAGCAGTTTGGGAAAGTAAGGGGGAGGCACAGAAGAGAGAGGACAGAAATAATGAGGGGAAAGAAAGAAGAGAGAGGGAGATGAGAGAGAGGAGGAAAGCAAGCATAGGAGAACGACAGAAAAGCAGAAAAATATGGGTAAAGGACAACAAGGATGGAAGGAGCTGCAGAGAGAGTGGGACCTCTGGGTGGCAAACATGAAATGCTTTCACAAACAGAAAGTATCTCTTGGGTTCCAATGCAAGAGATCAAAGGCAGAAACACCTTAACCCTCTGCTCTTTTCCTCTGCAATTTCTGAGTGCCCCTCTGATAGCATGGAGGCTGGATAATAGGCAGGACTTGTCCCCAGAAAATACTCCCAGCAAAGTAGAGGCTTATTGCTTGGCACAGAGTAGCTTCCTGACTCCCCTCACCATAAGAATCCACTAAGGAAGGGACAAGCAGGACCAGAACATGCTGCACTCCAACTATTCTTGGCTGCTGCAACCGGCCAAAGAAGGTAGTCACAGCAGAGCAAGCCAGAGGCTAGGCACAATCGAGACCATGTGACAATCAAAGGCAGCTTTTGGGCGTCACATGGAAATGGATTTTAAAGTGGTTTTAAAAATGGATTCTTTCCAGCATGGTTTACAGGGTTTTGCTCTTTAGAAAATATTCCTATTTCTCAACGTACTTTGATTCGTCTCAAATCAAATCTGAATGTCCTTGATCTAACTGGCTATTTCCTCCCACCACCACATGTTCCCATTCAGTGGCCAGACTGGAAAACATGGCATCTTTCCATCCCATCCATGTTTTTACAATTAACTCCTCCGATGGCCACAATGAGAAGAGAGGATACAACACCACCACTTATCACTTCCCCCAGACTGACCATTAAAACCCCCTTCACCTCCACCATGGAATTATTCTTCTGCCCATAATGAAGCTCACGGTTGCCACCACCATCTTGAAGACACTAGGTACACAAACTCCACTGTCCTTGCAGTAAGTCCATGGCTTTTATATGGGCAAGCACAAGACCCTTAGGGCCCCTGACAAAAAAGTGAACCCCAAATGCCAGAAACCACACTTCCCAGAGTTCTCTCTGTGACTTCCCACAACCAAGACACATAACTGAGCCATGGTATGGGAAAGAGAGAAAGGTGACAAAGTCTGCTGTGCAAAAACAGGAAGGAGCACATTCTGGGGAGGACAGAGGAAATGCTCTTTGTCCATCCCCCTCACACACACACACTTACACACACACACACAGAGGATGTTCCACATGCTTCAAAGACAGGCCCACAGTAAAGACAAGGGCAGTCGGGGTGGGTGGTAATATCCAGAGACAGTGAGTGACAAGAAGAGGGTAATTCACAGGTTACTTTCATGGTTTTCCTCTGTCTCAACGGTCATTGGGGGGAGGCCCCCATTGTCATTTAGTCGTTTGGCCCTGTAAGTCTCATAGTGGATGTTGTGTGTCACTTCTTTTAGGTCTTGGAGGTGGGTCCTGTAGGAGATAAGGAGATGAAAGATATAGAGAGAAGGAGGGTGAAGAAAGAAAACGTTATCATGTCTTGAATCAACAATTACTCTTCCTGGTCTATTTTATCTCCTAAGTTGAATGGGATGGGTCTTCCCTTGAAGCTGGCTAGCAACCCAGGTATTCATTTTGTATGGGTGCCATAATGTGTTAATCAGCTAAAGTGGCATCATGCAACTGAAGAAAAGGGTCAGGCAAGATGTGTCACACTGATCAGGTCATTAGCCTTGCCAGTCCAATATCCTACCTCCAGGTCAAAGCTGTGGTCATGGTGTCAGCTCTGCAGCATGCTGCCATCTCAGTTCAGACAACTCGTTCCTCAAGCCCTGTATTCTGCTCCTTGCCTTGCCCAACATGTAATGCCTCAGAAGAAGATTAAATCTCTGCAGGATGCATCTGATCAACATGGGTCACATAACCCATGTAGCCCTGCTGTCAACAATCACCTCTCTTGATGAACACCTCTCAGTCAGTCATTAACCTGTTTCTGACCACCCAGAGGACTTTGCCATAATGGACAGAAAAGTGGAGCATTATCATGTCATGACATTGTGTCACAACGAACACAAATGCCAAAACATCATGCCCTGAGGAGGCATGCAGAGGATCTGTTTCTTGCTTTGAGGAATATTCCTTGTGGTTTTCTTAAAATCCTAGAGGGACAGAAATTACTGTCTCATATGCTTTCTCTGGCTGCATGTGTCATGGGGCCCAGGGAAGATGCCAGTTTAGTTCCTTGCCATACAGGCCATCTATTTCACATAAGTTATGATTACAACTAACTTGTTGGCACAGTGATCCCACAGATTAAAGATCTCCTGTCCATCAGTTAAGCCTAGATTTTTCCTTGGAGTATTCAGTCCTGTTTTATCTGCTTCCAAGAACATGCTGTCACTCCTTCCTTCAGAGAATATTTCCATCTAAGGTGATCACACCTGTAGGAAATTCTATCTGTAAATTCATTGCATAAAAATGCATTCCTCACCATGAAATAATCAGTGTGTAACCCCTGGCCTCACCTTATGACAAAGTCTCGAAGGAGGGCAAATTCGCAGTGATTAAGGTTTTCCACTGAAAAGACAAAAAAAAGTGTTTGTTTGTTTCCTTTTAAAGCCTTCATTAGCACAGTCTAGGGCATGGTTGTCAAGACTGGGGTGCAAGGGCAGGAACTGTAGAGTGGTATATGTGGATTGCCAGTAGGCTGTCATGCTTGCCAGTTATCGAAAATAGGAGGAAGCAGTATGGATGCTTTCCTGTGAGGAGTGAGGTGCCCTCTTGGGTCCCCGCTTGGCATCAGTGTTCCAGAGGGACAGCAGGACCCCGTCTGTCAGTGACTGAGCAGTGGGAGCTACAGCTCCTCTAAAGGGAGTAATTTGAAAATCCTTTTTGTGTTGGTTAAAAAACCCATGGAAGTGTAGGCACTAAGGGTAGTGCTGGGAAATATATTAAGACCTTTGGATAGTGTTTAGCAAGCCTAAGCAAGTACATGAAAGGATGGACCTTTTTTACCTTCAATGATTCCCCAGGGTGTTTTCCTTCCCAAGACTCTTTTGCCATTCACTTGGTATTCCTTGTCACTGCCCACCACTGCAAACGGCATGCTTTCCTGCTGGTGAGAGACAGGGGAGAGACGTAATCAATCCACTCCTCTGAACAATTACCAGTAATGAGACAGAGGTGGTAGATACTGCTATTACTCTTTCAGCCATCTCCTTCCCCACCACCCAGCTCTTACACAGAAACATCCAACGACTGTCCCTTTCAAAACAAGCCATTTTCCCTGCATTTCAGTCCTTGGGTTTGCAGATGTTCCTACTATTTCTATAGTTCAGTCTGCAGATGCTGCCAGTGGTTCCATGAATTCAGTAGACATGCGCTGTGCTTCTCTAGATCAGTCTGCATGCACAACCAGCATTTCTGAATGGCAGGCAGGAGGAATATGGAGCTGTAATAACGTGTTATACTGCATGGTGGTCCCATGTTCTTCATAGCAGTAATTTGATGTATTCCTTCCTCCCCTAAGGTCTGTCAGGATGGTTCCTGGCCAGAAGGAGGAGATAGCTCAAAATAGGAATAATACGAGAACTATTAACAATACCAGAGTGGTTCTGGTTCATTCTCCTGCTCTGACTATGAAGAGTAAAATCATGTCAGTGCTAAAATAAGCCTCCTGCAGGACAAAGAATGCTGGCAGTGTTTAACAAGGACTTTGTTTTGAACTGCCAGATGGGGGAGCCAGATTCAACAGGCACTCAGAGCTTGTCCACATGTAGAATTTGATCACAGGCTCCCCAGGCAGGCATTTGATGGCATTAACACTGCCGCTGTTCATTCCACTGCCCAGTTTCTGCCCCTCTGGGGAGCCTTCCAAGCCAGATCTGGAGCAAGGAGATGTGTCATCTGGCTCACCGGACTGCCTGAGTGGCTGGAAATTCAGTGGTAGAAGGGAGTAGTGCCTGCTGTGGTTCTAGAAACCAGGGTGATTAACACTGCTGCTGCCAAATTTCTGGCCCCGCAGACAGCCCCAGGAGACAAACGACATGGCCCCATACTCTGAATCCAGCGCTTGGACCAGCCCCGCAAATTGTTAAGCCTGTGGACTGGCCATGCACCACTCCTCCAGCTCAGGGCCAAATGAGTTTGGCACTGCTGACAGGAGAGATGTGGAAGCACTGACACCCCATGAGACCTCATCTAGAGTACCATATACAGGTCTAGTCACCCATATTCAGCAAGAATGAATTCAAGCAGGAAGAAGTGTAAAGAATGACTACTTGGATGATGGGGGGGAATGGAGGCCTTATTGTACAAGAGACGTCTAAAAAAGCTTGGGTTGTTTAGCTTAGCAAAGTGAAGGTGGAGAAGGGTTATGACTGCTCTCTATAGATGCATTGTGCAGGGATGTAATACCATGGAAGGGAAAGA